TTAACATAAACTTTATCAAAAAAAAAAAAAAAAAAAAAAAAAAATACCCTTCAGAAAATTTCTACTAATTTTTTTAACTATATTCATTTATTTTTTTTTTTTAATAATATTACTTAAGAACTGCATACTTATAAAAGTATTTTATTAATATTTTTTTTTTTTATTTCAAAGAATATTTTATTTTTTCTCTTAAATAATTTCATAAAAATTTATAAAATTTTTTTTCAAGTTAAAATAATATATAATGGAATTAATTTTATGAATTTAACAAAAATTAAAAAAAAAAGGATAAAAAAAGTTAATAAGAAAACCACTACAGATATAAATAATTCAATGATTCAAAATTAAAGAATTCATTTTAAAAAACTTTAAAAGAAAAAAATTGAAGTTTTACCTATTAGAATGTCTATGAAATTATTTTTAGTTGTTTTGAAAAATTTTAATTTCATAAATCTTTATTTTTTATTTTTACTTTTTTATTTTTCCTTATTTTCATTATTTTTTATTTTTTTTTTTTTTTCTTAATTTTTATATTTTTTATTTTATTTTTTTATTATTTTTCTTTTTAAATTTGTTTCATAAATTTTTTAATTTTTTTTTTTTTTTTAGTTCTTATTTTACTTTCTTTTTTTTTTTTTTTTTTTTCATTTATGTATATTCAATACTTTTTTATTTATATATATATTTATTATATTCATTTTATTAGTTTTTTATTAATAATTATTTTATTTTACTATTTTACTATTTTCTTTTTTTCTTTTCTTACCTTTTATGGTGTCTTTTCATTTTACCTATTTAATGGTAATCCCTCATTATGGAAAGCTGAAAAAAAACTTCATTGGAATATTAACTTGAGTTATATATAAACTTCTTATTCTATCTTATTCTATCTTATTATTCTATGCATTTTTATACTATATTTGTTAATATATTTTGAGGATATCCTTTGAAAATAAATACATATGTTTTATTTAATAAGATTTATATTAATACAGTCATTTGATTTTTAATTATATTTATTAATATTGGTTAGACTCTGAAAAAAAAAAATTTAATATAAAAAAAAAAGAAAAATTTATCATTTTTTAACATAAAAATCATAAATTTTTTAAAACTTCCTTTTTAACCTTTAAAAAGTTATATTTTTTTTTTAAATTATCTTTAATTAATGATTTATCATAAATATTTCTATCCTTTAAATTTTTTTTTGATGAATTATTATTATATACATCCAATTTATTTTTATCTTCATTTATTTTATTATAAAAAAAAACGGTATAATTATAAATATTGTCTAATGTAAGTGGATTTGTTGCATCTAGATTTACCGTATCTTTATTTTTTTCAAATTTTTTTGTATTTTGATATGTGTTTAATTTCTTACACTTATTATTCTCCACAGTACTGTTTTCTATTACGCTTTTATTACTATAGCCATAATTTTCTATGTTATTTATATACTTTATATCATTTCTTACAAAAAAAAAGTCTTTTGGTTTTTCTACATTTTCTTCATTTTCTTCATTTTCTTGTTTTTTCTTATTTTCATCATCATATATATGAATTTTTTTATTTAAATGAAAATTTTCATTCATTTTTCTTTTATAAATATTGTTATTATAATTATCATTTTTGCAATCATTTTTTTCATCATTGTTATGAATTAGTTTTTTAAACATTGAAAAAAAATCATTATTTTTTATATTATATTCATTACTGGATATAATTTTATCATTTTCTAAAAAATTATTATATTGTTCATTATTAATGTTATTTTTACCATTTTCAAATATATTTTTTTTTATAATATCATGACTCACCGTTTTTTTATCCAATAATAGTTCATCTAGTTCTTTATAAAGTAGATTATGCTTCTCATTATTATCATAGTTAGTTACACTTTTAACAAGATTTTCATTATCATCATTATTATCACAACATTTTACATTTTTCATATTTTTCAAATTTTTAATATTATTAAATGAAATTTCATTATTTCTCTTTTTTTTTAAATATAATTCTTCTTTATTAAAATTCTCTTTCTCTTCATTTTCATTATATTCCATCGTATATTTATTAACTTTGTCTTCTGTATTTTTTAATCTTTGCTTTAATTTTAATTTATTAAATTGTATCAATTTATTTTTTAAATATATTAACTTTTTATCATTATATAAATTTTCTTTGTCTTTATCAACTTTATTTTCATTATCACCCTCTATGACATATTTATTTACTTTTTTTTTATTTTCATATTCTTTTTCGTTTTCATTTTCATTTTCACTTTCATTTTCATTTTCACTTTCATTTTCATTTTCACTTTCATTTTCATTTTCATTTTCACTTTCATTTTCACTTTCATTTTCATTTTCACTTTCATTTTCAATTTCATTTTCACTTTCACTTTCAATTTCATTTTCACTTTCACTTTCACTTTCACTTTCATTCTCATTCTCATTCTCATTCTCACTCTCATTCTCATTTTCATTCTCATTCTCATTCTCATTATCATTCTCATTCTCATTATCATTATCATTCTCATTCTCATTCTCATTCTCACTCTCATTCTCATTTTCATTCTCATTCTCACTCTCATTCTCATTTTCATTCTCATCCTCACTTTCAATTTCACTTTCAATTTCACTTTCAATTTCACTTTCAATTTCACTTTCAATTTCACTTTCAATTTCATTTTCAACTTCATTTTTATCATCCACCTCTTTTTCTACTTCAAAATGTATGAGTTCATTTCTTGAATTATCATCTTTTTTATCATTAATTAATAAACCTTTGTTAACATATGTATTATAATCTTTATAACAATTTTTATAATTATCTCTATGATTACTACTGCTTTTATTAATATATTTTATGGGTTTATTTTTAGAGTAATTAATATGTTTATTACTTTTATTATTATGAAATTTATTATTTAATTTATTTTCTTTTGTATAATACTGATATTTTAACTCTTTTTTTTTTTCAATCCTTTTATCATTATAATTTATTTTAATTCCATTTTCCATTTTATTAAATAATTTTTTTTTTATCATATCTGGATTTACAAAATAATTATCTGAAGTAGAACTATTTTCACTTAAAAGTTTCATATTATTTTTATTAGTATATGAACGATTTTTAAAATTTGTATTTTTATTATTCTTTAAGATATCTTTAAACTTTTCATCATTAATATATTTCTTCTCATAAAAACTAGAAAAATTTATTTGACTATCATTTAGGTTTGATAATGAACAATATTCATTATGAATAAATGAATCATTCATACTTTCAATATCTTTATCCGACTTCTCAACTTTTTTTATTTTTAAAAATATATTTTTATCATCGTCTATTTCATCTATGACTGTACTTTCATTTTTACTTTCATCTATTCTTTGATTAATTTTTTTATTATTTAAACAATTTATTTGATTATCTATTTGATTACTAAGGTTATTTATCTGATTATTTATTTGATTAAACATATGATTGCTCTTTTGAATATACACATAACTATTTACTTGATCATTTAAATTATTTATTTGACTTTTTATATTATTTATTTGATTGGATATTTGATTACTTATTTGGGCATTAATATGATTATTCACTTGATTATTTATTAAATTCTTTAATTTATTATTTACTTTATAATTTAAATTTTTTATATGATCATATATTTGATTGTACATCTTATTAATTTTTTCATTACATAAAATAAATATTTGATTATTTATACTATTTATTTGATTATTTATATTATTTGTTTGATCATTTATCTTATTGTTCATGAGATTTATTTTATTATTTATATGATTTATTTTCCCATTTTTTTTATTATTTATCATATTTATTTTATTCTTTAAGTTACTAATATGACTATTTAAAATATTCATTTCATTAATTATATTATATAATTTTTCATTTTTTTTATAATTTATTGTATTCATTTTATTGGTTTCATTATTTGTATTATAATACAATTGATTGTTTTTCTGATAAATTATTTGATTGGCTTGGTGATTTATCATTTGACTATTTTTTTGATGAGGTATGTGATCAATAATTTGATAATCTTTTTGATAATTTATCTGTTTATTTATTTCGTTCTTTTTTTGAGTGCCTATTTGATGGGAACTCTTTGGATAATTTATTTGCATATTTATTTGATTAATTTTTGGATTAATTTTTTGATCAAATATATTATTATTATGTTCATTAATCATTTCATAATTTAATTTGCTACTTGTTTTGTTGTCTAATTTACTAACAGTTTGTTCTTTTTTTAAATTACTTGTTTCAGAATTGTTATCTTTTGTACTTTTTTCCATGTTATTATTAATTTCTATTTTATCCATGTCAGTATTACTCAAAGCTTTAATAATATTTTTATTTTTATCAAAAATAAAAACATCATTTGTATCATTTCCTTCAATATTGGTATTATTATTTTCTTCTATACTTTTTTTTAATTTTTCTTGATTCTTTACAACATTAGTTATTTTTTCTTTTAAATATTTATAACGATTATTTTTGTTTGCTTCATTTTTTTTATCTTTTACAGTCGTATTAATTGAAACTTTTTCAACTCCCTTTCCTGTATAAATATACATATCAGTAACTTCATTTCTTTTATCTACATTTTCTCTATTTTCTTCTTCAAACAGCTTTCCTTTTCCTAATAAAGTTAAATATTCTACACGACTATATAGACAAAAAAAAAAAAAAAAAAAAAAAAATATATATCAAATATATAAATATATTAAAAAGGTGTATATTATGAGATATTTTTGTTTTTTTTAAAAATTAAACCTTTTCTTTTTATTAGAAAATGCATTTAATTTATTCTATAAAAATTAAAAATATTAAAATTTTTGTATTTTAATTAATAAAAAAAAGAAAAGAAATTAATAAAAAAACTACATTATATATGCTCCAAGAGTTATTTTTATAAACAATGTTATTATCATTTTTCATTATTTTGAAATTTAAAAAAAAAAAGAAAAAATAAACAATATATACATATATATATTTTTTTGGTAAATTTTTTATTTTAAAATATATTTTTAAAAGACTATATTCTTAGTTAAACAAATCTAAACAAAAATAAACATTTTAACAATATTAATTTATTATATTTATAAAATATATATATATTTATATAAGAATTATATTAATTTATATAAATTCTTAAATTTTATTATTCCCATAAAACACATATTTTTAAATTAGTTTTTTTAAACTCCTTTTAAGATAATAATCTATAAAAAAAAAAAATAAAAAATAAAAATAATATGTAAAAAAATGTATTAGTTATTGTTAAATCATACATATATTAACATAAATAGTAAAATAAAATATGCTTCAAAAAAAAATAAATTTTAATAAAAGGAGAAATTCATTCCATTATAAAATAAGAAGCATATATAACTATGTAGAAAGGTAAATATATTAAAGCATAATTCAAACAAATAATAATAACGTTTAAATAACAATATATATATGTATATATATATATATGTATATGTGTAAAAAGATATTCTAAAAAAAAAAATTAGAATATAGTATATCTTCTTAATGTATATTTTTTTGATTAAAAGTATTTTTACAAAATTCATAACTATTATTATTTTTAAAAAAAAATTTCATTATTCTCAAAACTCAAAGAATTTTTCGTTACTTTGAAAACTTCTTTCTTAATATAATTTTTATTTATAATAATATACACACGTATATGTTATTTTAGCTTATTTTTTTTTTTTTCATCTATAAATATAAAAATTTATTCTTTTCCCTTGCTTTTTTTTTTTTTGGTAATTTTTACTTTATATTTTTATTTAGGTAAAACAAATGGAAAATTAATTATAAAATATTCCCTTTAATATATATAAAATTTTACTATTTTTTCATTTGAAAATTTCTTAAAAAAAAAAATTACGAAGCTTTTAATAAACATTGTTTTAAATATAATATCAATGTTTTCTTAAGAAAATTATTTATTATTTTTATGTAATTATTGAAGATAATATATATACATATGAAAAAAGCTATATTTTAATTTTTTTTATCTTAAATTATTCAAAATTGTTTGAAATTTATTGAATTAAAAAGTTGTAAAAAAAAAAAAAAAAAAAAAAAAAAGATAAAAAATTAAATTGCTTTGAGCATATATTGTAAAGATGAAAATTTTTTTTTTCGTATGTTAAAATGTAACTTTTTTATTCATAAAAAAAATTTTTAATATACAAAAAGCAACGACAATAAATTAATTTTATGTATATACGAATATTTATAAAAATTGTTTTTCACTATTAATTTAGTAAAATTAAATTCTTTATAAGTTCAAAGAACAATAAAAAATATTCCAAAGCATAATTAATTGGAACTTCATATTTATTGTGAGATCTAAATTTTCTTTTTTTTGTTTTTTATTTTTATGTTTCTCCTTTCTTCATTTGTTATATAATTTAAAATTTTATATTATTTTGTTCTATTATTGAAGATAAATGCATAAACTTTTTAATGTAAACGATTTACATTTTTTCTAAAAACAAAGAAAAGGAGTAGATTCTGAAACATCTTTCAATTATAAAATAATTTTCTTTCTATTTTTATTCCTTTTTTTATTCTTTTTTTTTAAATAGAATATATGTCTATATATGTAAGTTGGAAAAAAATGTAGATATAATTTATGTTTTAATTTATTAATTTTAATTTTTTTAATTTTTTTTCTTTATTTAAATTAAGACTTTAGATGGTAGACATATAGTTTCATAAAATAAAAAAAGGTTTTAGAATTCTTTATTTTTTTAGCGTGTGCATTTTTTTTTTTTTTTTTTATTTTCTCTTTTTTAATATATATATAGAAGACATTTAATTTAAAATTTAATATTTTATGTAAATTTGTAAAAAATTTGTGTTAATGGACTTAAACATTCAATAATTTTAACATAATAATTATAAAATAAAAAGGTTAATTTCAAAAAAAGTTTAAAAAAATTTAAAGAGGAAATTTAAACAACAGTTGTTAGAAATTTTGTAATTTTGTAAAATTTTATCCTTTAATATAATGCACTATTTAATGTCAATTGTATACTTCATATATTCACTTAATTTTCTTCTATTTTCATTTTTTTTTTTTTTTTTCTTTTTTCTATCAAGTTGCTTTTTTTTATATTAATATTCATACTAAAAAAAAAATTAAACGTATATATACATATATATATATATAAATATATATATATATATATATATACATATATATACATATATATTTTTATTATATATATATATATACTTACTATAAATGAATAAATTAATTTATTATCTTTTAAATACTGAATTTTTAAAATTAATTTTTTAAATCATTGTTTTTAATATTTGCGCATAATTAATATCCATATGGTGATATCGTAAATTTACATATATATAAAAAAAAATATACAAAAAATTTTAATTTCCTAAATTTTCAATTTTTGTGTGCGTAAATTTATTAATAAGTCAATGTTATAAATAAACTAACATTTAATGTATTGTTGAATTTTTTTAATATGACATATTTGATGTATTTTTGTAAATTAAATTTTATATAATTAAGATATTAATATTTTAAAAATTTTGCTTTATTTTACACCTTTTTTTCTTATTTATTGGTTCAAAACATGCATATATAACTGTCTTTTATTTAGATTAGAAGAAAAATAAATGTAAAAAAATAGAAAAATATATAGAAATTTTTAGTAACTTTTTTTATTATTTTTATGCTATTTACTTTTTTTTTTTTTTTTTTATATTAATAAATAATTTATTAAAATTTAGATACATAAAAAAAAAAAAAAAAAAAATCATAGAGTTATTTTTACACAAATAAATTTTTTCATTTTTTTTTATGCTTCTTTACCACTATTGCTACTACTATTTCTTTAAAGTCTTTTATTTTTTTTTTTTTTTTTTTTTTTTTTNTTTTTTTTTTTTTTTTTTTTTTTAAATTACATGAATTCCAATTTTTTTTTTTCTGTTTTTTAAGAATAATTAAAAAAAAAAAAAAAAAGTTAAGTGATATATATAAAATATTAAAAAGAGATAAAAAAAAAAAAAATAAAATATAAATATAAAGTATATAAGATAAAATGGATTCAGGTATACATATATATTTAGAATAAAATAAAAATAATATTTTTAAATATATATATATATCTAAAAGAGAAAATTATGCAAGAAAATTTTGAAGTTTAAGAGAAATTATCAAATAGTATTTGTTAAACATATTTATATCTTAAGATTTTTTTTATTTACACATAATATGTATTTTTGTTTTTTTTTCTTAAAGAATATCAAGGTTTATTAAATAGCAAGGAAAGAGAAGATGAATCTAATAGGGCACATATAGCTGAAAAAGTGGAAAAAGGGGGAGAAAAAATTGAAAATACTTTAATGAAATTAAATGTGAGATATCAAACATTATTTTTTTCATCTGGTGTTATGACTGTTTTAAGTGGAACAATATCATTACTAGAATCTTTGAGATATTTTTATTTTACTAATTTTGTAGTCTCTACATTTTTGATGTAAGTTAATTTTTTTTTTTTTTTTTTTTTTTTTTTATAAAAACTATGTGTGTGTGTGTGTAGCATAATTAATGTTTATTTATCACATATGTTTATTTTAGAATTATTAAAAATATTATATTATGAAATAATTAAAATTAAAATAAATAAATATGTAATTATATTAATGTTATTTATTATTTTTCTTTTTATAGAATAATGGGATTAATCATGATGATTTTAGACATTCCAGGAACACCAAGATGGGCTGCTAAACATAGAATTTTGATAAGAAAATACATCAAATTCTTAACAAGATTAACAGGAAAATCTGTCTGGTTTTTTTTCTTAGGTAAACTAAAAATACCATTCTCATTTTATGCAAACAAATATATATGTGTGTTCATTTATTTACATATAAATCTTTTATTAGTGAATTTTTAATACATAATTTTTTTTTTTCTCCCACCTATTAAATAGGTTCCATGTCATGTTTAAATTTATGGCCACATTCAAGAAATGAAGGATTTTTTAGGTCATTTTTGGTGATTTTATTTAGCACTTTTATTTTAGTTGTATCTGTTGTTGGATTTTTAATAGCTTTAAGAAAATCATTACGATTAGAAAAATTGAAAAAAACGATAAAGTTGGTTTCAAAAGGAGCTTATATTGATTGCTATAGAAAATATAGTGTAGCTGATCCTGATCATGGAATGCAATTTGAAGAATTTAATAGGATGTGTTCTGATCATACAAATGGTTATATTTATTTTGATTTTTTAGATTTATTTATTATTTTTAATGCATTAGATGAACATCAAAAATGTTCTATAAATGAAAGAGAATTCTTAGAATGGATAAATGGACCAGTAACTTATTTATGAAAAATACATATATATATATATATATATATATATATATATATATATATATATATATATATATATATATAAAGCTTTTGATTAATAATAAAAAAATTTTTTTGTGCTATTAAGTTTTTGTTTATCATTGTGAAAAAATGAAAATTTTTTTATAAATTTCAATTTTTTTCATCCACTTTTTAACATAAAAACAAAAAAAAAGAAAAAAAATTGTCAAAAATATGTGCTACTTTTTAAAATTTCAATTATATTGCTTAAACAGGGATTTATATTCTTATTGTCACATATATTCTATATATGAAGTTTGAAACATTTTTAATTTTTTATTATTCCAGCTATTTAATAATTCATAGAAGAAAAAAAAAAAAAAAAAAAAATAATGAATAAATAAATAAATATAATAAGATAATATAAAATGATAGAACATTAATATGAAGTTTTATTCTGTTTCATAATAATTTTTTATGGAGATTTTTTCTTTTTTCCTTCTTAATTTTTAGGGGATACAATAATATAATATATTTAATATACAAAAATTTTTATTTATATATTTTTTCAGTAAAATTTCGATTTTAATTAATGACAAAATATATATTATGTCTACACTAATAATTATTTATTTATTTTTGTTTATTTTATTATTATTTTTTTTTTTTTTTTTTTTATCATATTTTTAAAAGACATATATCAAAATATCCAACATACATTTTAAAAAAAGGAATAAAAACTAACAGTGAATGTATATACAATATGAAAACACCATAAACATATTTTTCTAAAAGCTTTAAATTTCGCTTATTATTTTTAAGATAAAAAATTATTTTGTAACATTTTTTTATATATATGGAATGTATACAAATTGTAACATTTTCTTAATAATAATTTTTATTTAATTTTTTATTTTATTAAAGCAAAAAAATTGATTTCCTAAAAATACTAAACATATATTTTACTATTATTTAATAAAAGTAGTGATAAATTGTTTTTTGAATAATATATATATGTATTATTGATAAAATTTTATGTGTATTTAATGAAAAAATGTGTGCAGTGATAATAAATGAATATGTGCATAATACGTATATATGAAAAAAAAAAAATCAAGAGATGCGCCAGAAGCATTTTGTTCATAATAATAAAAGATAAAATTATTTATAAAAATCATTTATTTCATCTTTTGTTATATCAAGATCTATATTTTGAGAAGATCTTGAAATCACGTCTTTTTCTGACAAAAATGGAATTTTATCATTATCAATGATTAAAGCATTTTGTTTTAAGTCAATTGAGCATTGATGTCTTTTTAATAAATCTAATCCAAAAATAAATTCAATATCATACTCATCAATAATAGTTAAAGAAACTGCATAAAAATGATTTCCTATTTTAATATCAATCATATGAATTTTTCCTAAAATGGTTTTTGTACCAACTCCTTTAGCAATACCAGTAAATCTTTTATCCATTAATCTTAAAATGTTACACTTTTCTGCACATTTTTTTGACATTATACTAGATTGTGCTCCTGAATCAACAAAAGCATGAACTACTTTTTTGTTAATTTCTACAGGAATATATAACATAAAAACTACACCAAAAGCTTCTGGAAAATGCTCTTGAGCTAAAGCTAAATTTGAGTTTATCTGATTTTTATATATATTTTCATATATGTATTTTTGTGAATCTTCTGATAATGGATTTTTTAATGCTTTTTCATACATTTGTTGTTCTCTTTCTTTTTCTTTTTTCTCATTTTCGTATTTTTCTTTTAATATTTTTTTTATTTCTTCAATGTTTCCATTAATTATAGCATCATATAATTTTTTATCTTGTATTTCTAGTACACACATCTTACTTTTATCATTTTTTAAATGTAACAAATTTTCTGCTTCTTTTTTAATATATTCATTTTCCTGAATTTCTTTAAACTGTTCTAATAATGTATTAAAGCTGAATTTATTTGTATTATTCAAGTTATTATTATTTGTCGTTTGATTATTTGTATTATTGTTTATTAAATCTAAATCTAAGCTTAGTTTTTTTCGAATAAATAACAAATCTCCTTCTTTTATATTTAATTTTTTTATTGTATCATATTTATTTAATGCATTTCCATTATATGTCAATTCATTTATATTCATACTTATAGAAAAATCATTTTCGATTATATTCATAATTGTTGATATTTCCGTTTCTTCTAATACATCTAAACTTGTTATTATTTTACTATCATCGGATATAGTTATAAAAACCATTTTGTCCTATTATCTATATAAAGAAAACAAAAATTTGTTATTATCTAATGAAAATTGTTATGGATATTCAAAATATTCCTCCTTATAATTAATTTTTAATAAAAATATTTACAACAAAAAAAATAAAAAAAAAATTTTTGAATGATAAAAAGGAAAAAGGGGTAAATAATCAAAAAAAAAAAAAAAAAAAAAAAAAAAATTTAAAAAAAAAAAAAAAAAAAAAAAAAAAAAAGACTTTAAGAAAAATAAAAATATACAAATAAAAAATACATATAAAAATATATTTAATGAAAAAATTTCAAAATCGTAAAAAAATTTATATATATATTTTTTTTTACATAACTTAAAATATTCTTTTAATGTATTTTAATAATAACAAAAAAATAAAATTAATAGAAAAAGATATTTTTTGCAGATCACAAAAAAATGTATTAGTTTACAAAAATTTTATAATAATTTTAAAAATTTGAAGAGTACATTCAAAAAAAAAGAAAATTAAAAAGACTACTTTTAACAAATTATAAAATAAAATGAATAAAAAAATATTTTAATAATATATATGATTTTGCATAATTTTTTTTAAAAATAAAGAAAAATAAAAACAGTATATTTATACCCATAATTAATTTCATTTTATTTAAAAATGCTTAAGCTTACCTTCAAAATAAAAAATAATAACATAAAAAATAAATTTATTTTTACATCTAGATAATTCAATTTCTTTTATTAACAAAAATTTATACTTTCTTTTTTAGTTCCTTTTTTAAAATATACTATTCAAATATTAATCATTTCTTCCATTTTATTGTTATTCAACATATCTTTATTTATTTTTTAATTCCTTTTAATTTAACGTAGTATCTATTTTTTTTTTTTTTTTTGTTAGTAAAATATTTTTTTTTAGTAGATTAATAAAATCTTATAAAAATTTTCCATATGCATATTTTACCTAGTAGTTTATATAGCATATGTTACTTCATTGAATATTTTTTTATACATTTTTCTTTTTTTTTATATATGAAAAGAATAGAATTTTTTATATGAATTTAAGTATAAAATATTTCATTATTTTACCTATTAATTTAGCCGTTGCAATGCTTATTTTTATTTAAAAACATTTAATGATTAGTATAATAAATTTATCTTAATATTTGGTTTCAAAAAAATAATTAAAAAATTTTTAATTTTTACTTATATTTTTGAATATTTTTTTTAATTAATATGTTAACTTTTTTTCAAATATAACACTTTAACTTATTACTCAATTAATTTTAAGCATATATACTTTAAAAAAAGAATGAAGTAACATTAGTTTTTTTATGGAAATGAAGTTTTTAATGCATAATAATACTGAATATAAAAAATACATAAAAAAAAAAAAAAAAAGTAGAAAAACATATATTTGAAATATTTTTATTTAACCTAATAAATATATCCTTCCCTATTTTAACTTTTTCATAAAACAAAAGTAAAAATACCTTAACTTTTTTTTTTTTTTGTATCAAGTTGTAATTTTATATTCACTATATTTCATATATGTAATATATAATTTATATCATTAAAAAAAAGTATTATATAAATTATTTTAATCATTAAAGAAAATCATACATATATTTAATTTATCAGAGACATAAAAAAAAAAAAAAAAAAAAAAAAAAAAAAATATTTACTAATTATGAAATATTTCTATTCAATGAAAAAAAGTTGTCTAGTAGAATTCATCTATATTGGTACTTAAATATTTTACTAATTTTATTAAAAAAAAAATTTTTATATATTATATTAGTATTTGTAAATGTATATTAAATTTTCTAATTTAAAGTATGCACCTACTATTTTATTGTGTTATAAATCTATTATTTATTCCTAAATTTTTGAATAATCTAAAAATAACTATATAAAATAAATAGTAAAATAGAGAAATAATCTATTTTTTATATTCAAAAAAATTTCCTTAACATTAAATCAAAATTAAACTTAAAATACATATTTAAATAAAAAATATATATATTTTTTTATCTTTATTTCATTGAATAGATATTGTAAAAAAAAAAAAAAATACATATTTTTTTAGTTAATTTTTTTTTTTTTTTTTTTTTTTTTTTTTTTGTTATCTAAAAATGAAAAATTTTGACAATATAAATTTTTTTATATTAGTTTTTAACTTCATTTAAAATACTAAGAATAACACCTTTATTTCAAACTTTGCATTATCTAACAAAGAAATAAAAAAAAAAAAAAATGCAGAATTTTTCTTATAATGATTTAATAGCAAATATATATCATGTTAACTTATGTTGGAAGATTTAAAATAAAAAATGTAAAAAAAAGAATATTATTTTTAAAAGATTAACATATAAATTATTGCAAAATTTTTTTTTTTTTTTTTTTTTTTTTTTTTTGTAGAGTTTAAAAAAAAAATATTATTTCTTATTATTTTCGTAATTCATATTAATATAATTATTATTTTTAGTAATTTTTGTTCATTCTTTATTTTCTTAAAAAGTAGTAATAAAAAAAAAAAATACATTAAAATTTTGAAAGGCATTAAAAAAAAATACACATTGATTGTTAATTTTTTTCAAGGAAAAATTCAATAAATATTTAAGTCTCTTAAATTCATATAATCTAAAATTAAAGTAAATAAGAAACTTCAAAAAAAGAAAAAGAAAAATGTGATAAAAATATATTTTTTTTTTTTTATTTAAAACTTCCTTTTTTTTATAGATGATAAAAAATAGAAGTTTATGTTATTCTTTAAAACATTTTCTTATTTTATGTTACAATAAAAAAATATATTAAATATATTATTATTATATGTTACTTTTTTTTTTTTTTTTTTTTCTAATATGTTTTCATTTTAATAATTATTTGTTATCTTCTATTTTAACTATATAGACAATCAAAGAAGTGTAATACATACCGAGAAAATAACCAAGCTATATAATTTAAAAAATTATAATTCATTAAACAAAATATACTTAATATCTTGTGGAAACAATTTCATATTTAAAAATAATAAATCATTTAATTCTATAAACAATATACAAAATGAAAATAATATAAAAGAAGATGATAGTGATAATGAAGATGATGATAAATTAGTTTTAAATGCAGACAGTGATGATAATGAAGGAAATGAAAGTATAGAGGAAAAGAAAATAAATTCTGATAAAAATATTTATGATAATAAATCCACTTCAACTAATCTAAATTACAACTTAGAAGCAAAAAATATTCCAACTCAATATAAAAAAAGGAGCAAATACGACTCAGACAAGATAATAATGTATTAAAATATATTAATAATGAAGAAAATTTTAATTATACAATAATGAGATTTATATTTATAAATGTAAAAATATGATTACAATTTTGTAATTTTTTTTTTTTTTTTTTTTTTTTTTTTTTTATTATTTCCAGATATGAAGATATAACAGAATTACCAAGAGATATATGTAATTTACTTTTGACCGATGATGAAATAGAACAAATAAATACAGGTGTACCCGATTGTGATTTTGGTAATTATGTTAACAATATTACTCATAATAAAAAAAAATAAGAAAAAATATAAATATATTATATTACTTATATTTTGTTTCTATAATTTATTTCATTTTTGTTTTAAAAATTTTTCTATATAAAAAAAGAAAAAAAATGATGTATAAAGTACACAAAAAAATATGATATCAAAAATGAAAAAATATAGAAAAACATATACTTAAAAAAACAGAATTAATTTAGTTATTAAAAAATAAAAAAATTAATAATTTAATGAAATATATATATATATATATTTTTTTTTTTTTTCTTTTAAAGAATCAAATTTATAAATGAAAAAAAATATTAAATAATTTAAAAATTTTATACATTATACCTTTTAAAAAAATAAATGCATCTTTTTAAAAATATTTGCTTTTTTTTTTTTTTTTTTTTTTTTTTTTTTTATTACATCATTTTATCAATGTATTATTTTAAACTGTAAAATTTGATAATTATGGTTCTGTTCCTGTTCTAAATGAAAATGATGTATCAAATGGATTATATTTGTAAATATACCAATAATCTTCTGTTTTAATTTCAGAAGGTGTTAGTTTGATGTATTCATATATAGAATCTAATTCATTTTTATCTAATGGATTTATATTATGTCTATTTAATAGTTGTTTATAAATTAAATCAATATCTAAATTATTAAATATTGATGGCAGATCTGATCCTAAATATTCGTGATACTGAAATAATTCTTGATGATCATTTACGGTTTTATGAATAACTTTTTTTATTTTTTCTTGATTTTCATAAAAATTTTTTATTTCATCATCGGTTGGAATTACAGATATAGTGTCATTTTTAAAAGCAAAATGAAAATTACTCGTATCATAAAGAATTTGTTCCTTTTTATTCAATTTTGTTAGCATTCCTTTATATAATTTGTATTTATTCCATTTAAATAAAATACTTTCTTTTAATGCATAATATTCTCCTTTTCTTTTCTCTCTCTCTACCCACATACGAGAACTTATAAAATTGTGATCATTTGGTTCATCGTTTAATCCAAAAGTAGATTTTATTCTATCATGTTCTTCTTTCATATCCATATATTCATATCTTTTCAAAAGAGGTGGTAATGGATAATTGTTCCAAAATGTTCCACCACTTAAAATGGGTATATTGGCAGTCTTATAAAAAACACTTTGACTTGTTTTATTAGGATCACTAAGACTATTTAAAATAGTATTACCATCCATTGTACAACCTCTGTATCTTAAAAAAATTTCATGTATATCACACTCTGTGTGTTGATAAATTGGATAATTTAAAGATAAAACAGAATCTTTTAATTGACCAATAGTCCTTGGACCTATAATAGAGGAACCTACAAAAGGTCTACTGTAAACATAACTTAAACTTAATTGAGCTAATGACATACCATGTGATCTAGCTAATTTTATATATTCTCCAACAGCATCCTGTGCCCATACGCATCTATGGGATTTATATAAAAGAGGGTATTTATTACATCTTCCATTTCTTGGACCATATGATAAATATCCATAATCTTCTGGTTTATTACCTCGAGAATCATCTAAATCGTGATCAAGTTGATCATCTCCTAATATAGTATCTGGACCCATAGTGTGATATCTTTCTGGATCCAAATACTTTCCTGTTAAAATTCCTCCTGCTAATAATCCATAAGGCACTAAAGGTACATCATAATTTTCTTTTAATATCATTTCAACAAGACCTGAAGACTCTACTTCATTCCTGTGCAACAGATTATATAAATTTTGCACACACACAATTTTCATATTTTTTTTTTTTTTTTTTTTAGCTAGATTACACCACTGATATATTCCCCACACGCTTTCATTGGAAACCGCTATATGCCTAACCTTTCCTTTAAGAACTAACTTTTCCAATATTTCAAATTGTTCTTCTATGGTTATAACTTCTTTATTTTCTTCTGCTCTTAAATTTTCAAATCCCCATACATATGTATCTTCTCCATTTACACTATTTGGTATGTACCGTTCAGGTATATCAATAGTTAATATGTCCACGTAATTAGTGTTTAAATTTTTCAAAATTTTATCTAATCTTTCTTCAATGTTGTAAAAATTTGGTGTATCGTCTTTTAAATCTTCCATAATCCAACTTAAGTAATAGTCTCCATGAGTAATTTTATCTACATTTCTTGATGAACACATACGTAAATTTATAATTATATTTTCTCTTTTTTTATCTTTAAGAAACAAATTCATATTTTTATTTTTACTTTTTTTGTAACTTTCTGGATCAAATGGAAATGGATCATACTCGCAAATATCAAAAAAATTTATTCCATATTCATAAAAAGCCATATTTAACAAGACATTTACATCATCTTTACTTATAAAATTTTCATTTTCATACATATTAGTTCCAATACATATTTCACTTACGCATAAATTACTATCACCTAATTTTCTATATTTCATTCCATATATTAAATCATTATGCTTATATATTTTATGTGTCTTAAATGTATTAGAATTACTGATCCTTAAAAGCTCATAAAATATATGTTTTTTCCTTAAATCACACATTTCGTTAGTATTTGTTTTTTCTTTAAATCCTTTATCATGTATGTTTCTTAAAATAGAACTCATTAAATCCTCACATGCTGGAGGAGGTTTATCTCCAAACCTTAATTTATCTATATCTGGCCTTTTTTCATATAATGACTCATTTTTTTCATCTTCTTTTAATAAAAATTCTACTTTTTTAATAAATTCAATTTTCTTTTGTCTTTCTAATTTTTCTTTTTCTTTTTCTTCTTCAATTATTTTTTTTTTTTCATTTTCTTCTTCATTTTCAATTTCATTTTTTTTATCTTTCTCTATTTCACTATCAAATTCATTATTTAAATCATTATTATCATCTAAAATTTTATTATGCTTGTTTTTTTCTGTCTTTAACTTTCTAGCTTTATTTTTTCTTGTATTCTTTAATTTTTTTTTTTCTTTTTTTATTACGTCACTAGTTACTGTATCATTATTAGTGTTATTTGCAACGTTATTTTCATTCTTCCTTAGTCTTAATTTTTTTTTTTTCCCATTTTTCAAATCATTTGATTGTATTTTTACTTTGTCTTCATCTTTATTCACTATCTCAATATTTTTTTTGTCGTACAATTTTTTATTTGCTATTATTATTGATATCTTTTTATCTATTTTAAAAATATAGGGAGTACTATCCTTTAAATAAAAAGTGTTATTTTTAATAAAATTAAAAGAGTAATATTTTTTTTTCATATAACTTTTAAAATATTTTTTTAATTTATTCTTGGTAAATTTGTACTTTATATGGTTTATTTGTGAACTGGTTTCATGTCTTTCTTTTTTATAAAACAAGATATTAAAATAATATTTTTTTTTCAAAAAACAATATACTTTGAAAAAGAACAATGAATAAAAAAATAAAAGATATAAAATATTCTTAGCTTTCATTACTGTTGTATAAAAATTAACTTAAAATTTTTCATTATAATGCGACACTTTTTCTTCATCTTTGAATATTCTAGCTTTTAATATATATATAAATACTCTTAATAGTTTAAAATAAATATTAACGCTCTTTTTAGTTATCTTTAATATTTAGATTAATATAAAAAATTTCACTATTTCATTCAGAACAAGATAGTAATTTAATATAATGCTATATCTTTTATTTTATAAACATTTTAAATAAATGATAAAATTCATAGATTACAATTCTAAAATATTTGTAAATATTCATTAATTTTTATAGTCATATATATATTTCTCGTAAATGAATATGTTTAATAATATATTTCACGAATTTATATATAAAAATACAAAAAAAAAAAAAAAAAAAAAAAAAAAAAAAAAAAAAAAAAAAAAAAAAAAAATACATAAATATAAGTGATATATAATTTAAAATTATAAAAAATACAAAAAAAAAAAAAAATTTAATAAAATATATAATTAAAATTATTCTAATATATATAATTGTTCAACCAAATTAAAGTAAAAGAAATGAATTATATCTCTATAAAATTTTATTTAAATTTTTTTTTTTTTTACGTTTTACCTTTTATCTGTACCTAAATATTCACTTATATATTTCCATATTTATTTACACAAACTTTTAAATATTTTTTTATAAATTAACAAACATACAATTAAATCAGTAGTAATAAAAATCTATTAATTTTTTTTTTTTTCTTTAATTTTGAATTATAATAGTTCTCTAATTAAGAAATTATTAAAATTATTTTAATACTATAGAATTATTAATAGTAATAAATAAAAATTTTCTTTATTAATAGTATAAAGTCCAATAAATTACTTTGAGTTTTCTATAAATGAAAAAAAGGCAAAAAATCAATTCGTTAAATACTTCATTGGGTTCAAAAAGTACAAATTTAAGTGATCATGAGAAAAAGTATATTTATCCGTGTATACCAAATTCACCAATTATTTTTAATAAAAATCAAATAATTTATGGATACGGTAATACATTACTGGTTTTTTGTAAAAAAGAGAATAAATTTATAAAGAAAATTGAAGAACATAAAAATGCTATTAGATCATTAGATATAAGTGAAAATAAGAAATATTTCTTAACAACAGGAGATGACAAAATTATAATAATTTATGATGAAAACTGGTCTATAATTCAGAAAATAATACATAAAAAAAAAATAGTTAAAGCTTATTTCCTAAAATATATAGAAAAAGAAACAAATAAATTTGAAATATTATTAATTGATAAATATGGCGATATATATATATATGATTTAAACAATTTACGGAACAAAAGTAATTTAATAAATGAAAAAAATAAAAACGAAATTATAGATAATGATTTTATAATGAAAAAAGATGAAGACATTGTAAAATTGACTTATTTATATGATTCATTAAGTGAAGTTAATGAAAAAGATGAAGATTTATTTTTTATGAAGGATTTTGAGCACATATATAATGAAAATTTAGAAAACTGTATGTTAGATAATAATGGTGATATAAAAAGTGACATAGAGACTACTAACACTGAAAATAACGATGTATTAAATTTAAAAAATGTAAAAAAAATGAATGATATAAAAGAAAAACTAGAAAAACACTATTTTGAATGTTTTCAAAATAAAAATCTTCTTTATCCAACATTAACATGTAATTCGACTGTGATATCGTTGTATTATGATGAAAAGTTCTTGATTATAGGAGATAGAGATGAAAAAATTAGAATAATAAAAAATAAAAGACTTAATAAAATATATAACTTTTATTTAAATCATAAACTATTTATTACATCTGTTCTTTTAATAAACGAAAAGACATTTTGTTCATCTGCAGCTGATGGTTATATATATTTATGGAATATTAAGACAAAAGAAGTTATTGATTATATATATCTTGATTTTAATTTTTTGTCTAAATTTATTGATATAAAATCACTTTTTAACAACTCGATTAATTTAGATAAATATAAATTTATTGTAAATATTTTAAATTTTAATGAAAACACATATTCTATATTTGCAACAATCGAAAATTTAAAGGGAATTATGATTATACCATTAATTAAAAATGAAAACTCTGCTTTTATAAATTTTAATAAAGAAAAAATTTTTTTTTTTACATTAGATTACAATATCTTATCATTTATGCTTTTAAACATTAACAGTCAAAATTTTATTGTTTTTGTTGATAGAAATAAAGGGTATTTACATCAGATCAAATTAGGTGATGATAATAATTTAAATGAAGAAGTTGCAACTTTTGATCATTCTTTTTTTGAAGACAAAAATGAATTAGGTAACAAAAACAACCATTTGTTTACATCTTTTTTTATTTTTTATAAATACAAATTATATAATACCTCACTTTTTTTTTTTTTTTTTTTTTGTTTGTTTTGATTTTTAGATATTGGTTTAATAAACTATTGGAAGCATACTACTATAGAAGATATTGAAAATTAAAAACAAAAAAAAAATAATAAAAATAAAAATAATCATATACATTTCCTTTTTACTCAACCTTTTATAATTTTTAATTTCCGTAAGAGATTTTTGTTTATACTTTAGCTATCATATTATTGTTATTTTTATATAGTAAATTGTTTATTTTTTAATTTTAATTTATACCTCTAAAATACATTTGAATATATCTTAATTATATTATTTTATAAATATCAGTATAAAATTTTATGTTTGTGAATTCACTTTATTAAAATTTTTATTTTTTTTTTATATAAAAAAAAAAAGTTTTTTTTTATATAGTTATAAAAATATTCTTTTAGATATTGAAGCTTTTATTAAACTGTTTGAAATTATTTATAAAATTAAAAAAAAATGTTTCATTTTTTATTTTTTTATTTAATTCTACTTTTTTTTAACAAGAATTTATAAGCTTTTTTAAGAAAATCATCTTGAAGAAAGGATAACTTTAAAAATTCTATAAAAAATACAGAAATCTATAAAAACAAAATAATTCATCAATGAATTTTGCTTATCAATATGATAATTTTTTTTTTTTTTTTTTTTAATTTAAATGAAGATTAAAGATAAAAATTTTTACTAAAAACAAATATATGAAAGAAATAATTTTAATGAAAATATTTAAAAAATATAAATTTTCAAAGAAGATATACCATTATATGAAAAGCACTGAATTGTATAAAGAATATATTAAAGTATAAAAAATTTGCTAATATAAAGAATTAAAGTTTTGTTGAAAAAAAAGTGTATATAAATATATATATATATTTATATTATCTTTTATTTTTTTAAAGAAATGATTTCTGATGAATATATGCATAAAAAAGAATATGAAAAAACATTTTGGGAAAAAATTGGAAAACCTAAATATATTTTAGCTCCTATGGTTGATTTAAGTGAATTAGCATTTCGATTACTTTGTAAAAAATATAATTGTCATTTATCCTTTACACCAATGTTACATTCAAAAAATTTTGCTCAACAAGAAAAATATAGAATAAGTAATTTTAAAAGTTGTGAAGAGGATAAACCTGTAATAGGTCAATTTTGCGGAAATGATTCCAAAATAATTTTAGATGCAATTGAGTTTATTAAAAAAGATGTAAATGCAGTAGATTTAAACTTTGGATGTCCTCAACAAATTGCTAAAAAAGGAAATTATGGAGCATTTTTATTACATAAACATGATGAAGTTGTTAATTTAGTCTCTAATATTACTAACAATTGTAATATTCCCATTACTTGTAAAATTAGAAAAATTGATGAAGATTATCAAAAAACATTAAATTTATGTTATGATTTACAAAGTCGTAATGTTCAAATGATCACTATTCATGGTAGAACAAAAGAAGAAAAGGGAAAAAATATTAAAAATTGTGATTATGAAATTATAAGAATAATAAAAGAGAGATTAAATATTCCAATTATTGCAAATGGATCTATTGAAAATTTTGAAGATATAGAAAAATGTTTAAATTATACAAAAGCAGATGCAGTTATGTGTGCTGAAATTTTGCTCGAGAAGCCATACTTTTTTTCTAATAAAAATATTGATACAGTTGATATAGTTAATGAATATTATGATTTATTTTTAAAATATGAATCAAATACGAAATATTTAAAGGGACATTTATTTAAAATGCTTTATAAATATTTTCAAATACATACAGACTTACGGGATTTATTAAATAATTGTTATACTTTGAATGATTACTTAAATTTTCAAGTAATTTTAAATGAAAAAAAGAAAATGGGTATCTTAATGGAATCACCTCATAGTTGGTATAGAAGATACAGAAAAAATTTATAAAAAAAAAAAAAAAAATTAAAAAAATTACATATATTTTTATACATAGATCTATTATTTATTTTATTCTTTTTTATTACAATTATAATTTAAATGGCAATTTTATTAAAAAAAAAAAAAAAAAAAAAACATATATATATGCAATATAATTAATGTTCATCTAAAGTTTGTTTACTATAATTTAATATATATGAACCTTTTTTTTTTTGTTTTTAAAAATTGAAAAAAATTAAACTTTTAAAACTTTGTTTTTTTTAATTTATTTTATTTTTTTGTCCTATTTCCTAATAAATAATAATTTTTATTCTTTTCATATTTTTTAATTATAAAAAAGAATAAACAACATTTCTCATGTTAAATTTATATCATTGTTATATAAGGTGTATAATATTTTCTTTTTTTTTTTTATTATGGTTTTTATAATATTTCTATTACATTATATTAAAAAATGAAATAAAAAAAAAAGAAATCCTGTTATTTTTTAAGAAAATTTATTTTTCCTTTTTTTGTCTTCTCATTTTTTTTATGTCTAAGGAAATATTTTCGTTATTCTAAAAAAAATTAAAAATAATATATATTGGAATATATTTAAAATGTATTTATATTTTATAAATATTTTCAGAATATTTTAGGTTAATATTAATTTTAATATATTTTTTTTTTTTTTGCTTTTTACTTTTTTTATCTCCTCAATTTGTGAATTTAAAAATTCAATATCATTTTCAGATGATTTTATACTTTTCTCTAATTCATATATTTTATCTTCATAAATTAACTCATCGTTAGATATATGACTATTTATCATATCAATTTGCGTTTTTAATGTTTGAATTTGATTATTTGACATATTTTTATTATTATTTAATGTTGAAATATTACTATTATTATTTTTGGCATTTTTAATAGACAGAATTTTTTTTTTTAATTGATTATCTAAATTAATTAATTGTTCTTGTTTTTTTTTTAAAATATTTTCATTTTCATTATATTTATTTTTTAAATTTATTAAATCCTCCTTCAACTGACTAATCTCTTCATATTTTGTTTGTATAGATAATTGAGTTTCATTTAAGCATATTTCATCTAATGCTTTTAACTGCTGCTTTGAAATGTTTTCTAAACCTTCTTTATCATTATTTAGTTTTTGTAGAATCTCTTCATTTTCCTTTAACTTATTTTCTAACTTTACTATCTTATCTGTATTATCTTCTACACTTACTTTACTTTTTAATAATTCAATATTCTTTTTATATTTATTTAATTCATTTATAGCCAACTTCTCAACAGAATTATTTTTACTAGCAACGCTTTTTTTTTTAACTTGTAATAACACCTTATCTAAAAAAGTATTTTCTAATTTTATCAATTTTTTTTTTATTTCACTATAAATTTCCTCATATTTTTTATTTTTTATGTCATCGATACTTTTATCTACATCTAAATTATTTTTCATAAAATATTCTACATTTTTTTTATTATTTAAAATAGTACTACTTGAACTCATATATTTGTTCATTTTAAACGTATTTTTATATAATATTATATATTGAATATTTTAAAAAAAAAAAAAAAAATAAAATTGTAATAGTTAGAACATTTATAATTAATATACGTTTTTACTTAAAGATTACATATCTACATAAAAATTCTTTTTTTTTAAAAACTAAAAAATTTTTAATAAAAGAGTTTTACTTTTATATTCAAAATTTTCTTATATTTTTCAACGTTCATAATATTTATTTAAAAATAAATTTAACTATAAAAATCTTAACAAAGAATATAAAAAAAAAGAGAGAATGAGATTAACTACAAGGCACAAAAACTAAATAAAAAGGAAAAAGAATAGAAGATTTATTTATAATTATAAATAATTATATGTATCACAATATTAAAATTATTTCAAAAAAAAAATTTTTAATAATTCTATTTTTCTAAGACAGCATGAAATTCTCTTTTTAAGTCAGTTTTATACTTTAAAAAAAAAAAAAAATTTTAAATTAAAAATGTTGTTATAATATAGGTATATAACATTATTGTATTTTATAATAAGAAAAGGAGAGTTAAATTAAATATTACAAAAATGTATTAAAATTTTATAATAAAGGAAAGTAGTAATTATTAAAACTTTTGTTTGAATAATAATAAAAAGACTGAAAATTCTATTATAATTTTTTTCCTATTAGACAGAAAATTATTAAAAAAAAAAAAAAATGTTAAGAGTGTGTAAATAATACTAAACATATAAATAAAAAAAAGATAAATATAATTAACAAAAATAATTATTTTTTAATAATATATATTAATATTTAAGTTTTACTAAAATTTAGACTTTACAATTTAAGAAAGAAAAAATATTTCAAACTTTGTTCTTTTTCTTAAATGTATTTTTTTTATTTTTTTTTCCAGTTGCCTAAAAACATAAGTAAATATTAATTATATATAGATTATTTATATTAAATATAAAGTAATACTTATTCTATTAATTTAAAATTTCTTTTCTACAAACAAAAAAAAAAAAAAAAAAATTTTTTTTTTATTAATTTATAAATGAAATAAATATATTACTAATATATGGTAATGGAATATAATTTAAGTGTGTATCAGATCATACATATTCATTTTCTCTTTTGTTTTTTTTTTTTTTTTGAATGATACAAAAAATAGTGATAATTTTAAAAAATTTTCCTTTAAATCATTTTAATATGTATGAGAAAACTAAAAAACCTACTTTTCTTTTTTTTTTATTTAAATGAATTTTTTTCTTAATTTAATAAACTTTGGTAAAATTTTACCAAACTAATATGTTCATAATAAAATATATATTGGATATTTTAGTTTTAATTTTTGATTTTTATTTATCATTATGATATTTTACTTTAAAAAAATGAAATTTTTTTATATTAAAAAATGTTAAAAGAAATTGTAAATATAAAATTTTATATTTTTCATACACATTTTGCCTGTCATTCTAAAAAGAACAAAAAAAAAAAAAAATAAAATATAATAAAAAAAAAAAAAACATTTATATGAAAATATAATAAATAGAAAATAAAAAATAATTAAAATAAATAATATTTTTATGATTTATTTATTATTTTTCTTAATAAATTGTAATTTTAGTGTAGCAAATGTAAGTACAACAATAATGTAAAAAAAAAAAAAAAAAGGAAAGAAAATTATCCGAGATAACAAAAATAACACTAATGAAATAAAAATGTTAAATTTTAGGTTGAAATAAAAATTGTAATTAAAAATTTAGATTTGCATACGTTATGTGTATGCATATAATGTTCTTAATAGAGAAAAAACATTTTGTTTATGAAACCGCATTATGGCACTATATTATACTAAAATATTTGCAACATCTTACGTATTTTTTGCTTCAAACTAATAAAATATGAAATAATGAAAAAAAAAATAATAATAAAATAATAAATAATAATAATTAAAAATAAATAGTATTTATACTAAACTAAATATAAAAATGTAAATTTATTTATTTGTATAATTTTTACATATATTCTTAAGTTTTTATTATTTCTTTATTTTTTTTATCTTTACATCTTATGAATAAGAAATATTTTATAAAATATAAAATAAGGAAAATTTCGTGTATACATATCCAATAGAGAAAAGAAAAAAAAAAAAAAAAATTAAAGTATATTTTTTTTTTTTTTAATTTTAAATCAAAAGTTATTTCAAATATTTTTTTGTTTAATTTTTATTATCATAAGTGTAAACTTATTAATATACCTATTTTTTTTTTTTTTTTTTTTTTTTTTTTTTGTATTGAAATGTTCCTCAAAAGGATAATTTTTTTTATGAAAACTACATGAACACCTATTTAATAACATAAATATATATATATATATATATTATATATATATAACAATAAATATATATATATACATTTATATAAATATGTATTTATATACATAAACTATATTCCCCTTTTTTTTAAAATTTAAATATATATTTCTTATAATTTTCTATACAAAATGAAAAAAGAAGAAAATATTTCATGTTTTTTTTTTTTTTATTATTAAAATGTAAATTTTAAATACCCCTATATATATTTTTTTTTATTATATCCTATTATATTCAATTGAAAATTTATGTTGTAAAATAATGGGTGATTATATATGGAATAATACGTATTCCTTGGAGTTTTTAAGTGAAGATTTTTATGATTTAAATATAAGTACAAAAGACAATTTGTATGAAATAATAAAAAAAAAAAAAGATGACAATGAAATAGAGAGTTTAAGTATTAATATCAGCAATCACATTTGCATGTTTGTTCATTTAATAGATAACTTATTAAGCAAAATTAGCTATAGTAATATTACTATAAATAATAACTTAAATTATAAAAAATTATTTGATGTATTTAATTTTATCAAAAATCAATTATATAATTGTGATTATAGTTTGTTTTTGAGAATTTATTCTATTTATTACACATATAATCATAGAAAAGATGGATATTTAGACGTGAATAATTTGTACACATTTATTTTAGATATAATAAATAAAATTGAAAATTTAAATGAAAATAATTTTTTAATATTACCAGGAGGTTTTTATTTACAAAAAGAAAAAATGTTAATTAAAATTTTGTATATAATACATAAAAAAAATAATTTATATAGTTTTTCAGTTTTAAATAATTCTATATATGGTATTCAATACCATTCATTTAAAGTTGACGAAACAGATAATTTAGGTATCATATTAAGAGATGTAATATTATGCATTAAAAATATTACAAAGAATTATTTAACGAATTCTTTATTTTGGTTATGTTTATATCGTTTATATATTTTTCCAAATCATGACAATGTTGATATATTATATCAAATATTACTACCTTATTTAAATAATTCTTTTTTAACTAACAATTGGAACCTTTATGATAATAAAACGATAAAAATAGATGATCATAAAGTAACAAAAGATATGAATAATAATATCAGTAGAACTTTCAATAATAATAACACGAATAATCAAGAACATACTTACAACTTTAATATTTATAATGATTCTACAAAAAATCCAATTGAACAAAATTCATCAAGCTATATGAATAGCTCTTACAACTTAAATAATTTAGATGATTTTAGTGGAAGAAATAACTTATATAATCTTAATAATATAAATAATTTAAATGCATTCGAAAATATAAATAATATAAAAGATTTTGATAATTTGAATAATTTTGATTTTAAGGAATATATAAATAGCAATGATAAAGAGCAGAATAACACAAATTACTTTAATCCATTTGATTTCAATTCAGATAAGGATTATTATAATGAGAAAAAAAATAACATTTTTAGTAAAAATATAATAGACATAAATAATGATAAAAAAGTGAATAATAATATACAAGATAACAAAACAACAAAAACAAAAGATGAAGATGATAGATATGGAGGTATATATGTTAACATATATAAGAGTAAGTTTACATCTTTTTCAGTGAGTTTATATTATTGTATTATATATATGCTTAAAGTTATGAATATCCAAGAAGAGGATATTGAGATATTTAAAATTTATATTTATTATAGTATTATTTTAAAATTGTGTGATGATTTATTAAAAATTGATTATAAAGAAAGAGAGAAAGATGAAATAAATAATTTAAAGATTAATAATAATAATAATAATAATAATAATAATAATAATAATAATAATAATAATAATAATAATAATAATAATAACAATATAATAAATCAACAACATTCTTCTAATAAAAATTTTACAAATTGTAATCTTAATAAAATAGATCATGCCTTTTTTGTTTTTCTAGATATGAGTATAAGAAAGATGTGTATATTATTTCATTTATATTTCTGTAAAATGAGAATAGGTATATATGATATTAATAAAATTATAAATAATAATATTTTGAATGAAATGATGAAAAAAATATTGTTTATCAAATTTATGTATAATAAAATGGAATTAAAATTATATTCGGATTTAACATTGAACACAGATGTAATAAAACAAAGAAATTATACTAATTCTATTAAGTTTCCGATATTTATTAAATATGAAGAAGAATTATATAAAAATTACAGAAAAGTAGAAATTAAAAAAGACATTAATATTCCTATTTCTTTCTATATTTCAAAAAGGATAATAGAATCATTTAATGATTTATATATCATATTATACCAAACCAATTTAATTACAAGTATTTTAATAAATCAAAAAAGTTACATTAAACATTGTTATTTATTAGCTTTTTCTTTTATTAGTCATGTGTTAAATAATATATTTCCATCAACAAGACATTTCATTTTTTTATCCAAATGTAAAAAATTAAAAAGAGCTTTACAAATAGGAATTTTTAATGAAATATATCGTTTGTATAATAATATATATTTTATATCATGTTCTTTACGTGAAAATAAACAAATAATAATGTATAAAATTATCAATTGTGCGATTTTATTATTTTTATACGATTTTCTTTTAAGAGTTCCATGTACTGACATATGTTCTCCCTTTTCTACTCATTATAATGGTTTCACAACAAAAACAAAATATTTTATGAATAAAGAGAAAGTAAATAAAAATAAATATAAAAAAAGTAATAAAAAAATAATTATGAATGAAAAAGGAAAATACAGTGATAGTTGCTATAATTCTAATGAGGAAAAAAAAATTACATCAAATAAATTATATGATAAAAACAATTACATTAATGAAGAAATGAATACTAAAAATTTATTAAACGATATAATATTTGAAGATAAAACTAATGACATTTATTCAAAAAAATTACCAAATTTTTATGTATGTGATAAAGATGATAATTATTCTTCTTTGGATGAATTTGTTCACGAAGCGGATGAGAAAATAAAGTTATCAGGTTATTGTATTGATGTTTCAGTATTTGAATGCTTTAGTAATTTTTTTTTAATAATAAATCCCAAATTAAATATAATGAGGTCAGACATTATTGAATACTTTTATAAAGTTAATGAAAAAAATATTGACAAAAACAATCAATTGTTTTTATTTGAAAAAAGCAATGACATAAGTATATGTGAAATTGAAATATTAGAAAACATAAGTATAGATTTAGGTTTAGATAGAAAAAAAAATCATATAATAGAATATTATTGTGGTGATAATCAATTATTTAAAGATTTAGTTCCAGAATTTTATCATTTAAGAGATATGGTATTTTTATTTAAATCTTTTATGTGTCCATATATTGAAAAATTACCTCCAGTCAAATTATATAAATATAATGATATAAATTTAAAATTTACATACAAAAATAAATTAAACATTAGTGTTTTTAATAAAAAAATTGACATATGTGGATATTTATGCCCTCCTAAGAATTCCAAATTTAATTTCTTTTCTTTTATATATCAATTCATACAATCACATGAAAACAAAAAGGACAATTATATCTTAACATATTCTAACCCTAATATGTATACAAATACTTATATTGAAAATGAATTAGATGTTTTATATGTAAATGATCTTCCTTTTTTTCATTATTCTTTAGATTTAAGAGATGTAGAAATTTTACTTCAATATTTAACAGTACCATATATTAGAATACCATTGATTTTAGAATTTTTTTGTGATAAAAATAGAATAAAAAGTTTTCACTGTTTTGATATACAACAACTGTTATTATGTATTCTGTTTGAACCTTATATATTTAAAAATAAATATAAATTAGTACAAGAAGATAATTATATTCCTTCAAAAGATAGAAATATATTTGCAACAAAATATGGATTACTAATTAATGAATTAATTTATAGTCCCAAAAATATACTATGTAGTATTTATTCATATCTAGATTTATTATTCAGTTTTGATAATGAAAATAATAGTAGTGAACAAGTTATTATGGTTTTTATAATTATGATATGCACATATGTCAATTCTTATATAAAATTACTTGTTGAAACTAATAAGGAAATAAGAAAAAATTTAGCAAATATAAAAAATATATTAATTAAAGGAAATATGATACCACCAGAAAAATATGATCCTAATACAAAAAATAATAAGAAAGCAAATGATAACAAAGAAAGAAAAAAAAAAATTTATTTTTTAAATAAACTTAAAAAAAAATTAATAAAAAATGAATTATATTGCTCCGATATTGTTTTATTAAACCTAGAGAAATATTATAAGAAAATAAAGAAAAAGTTAGAAAATGAAGTAGTGGATATTTTATTGAGATATATTAAATTATCCATACAAAGGAATGATATAACTACTTCATGTATATATCATGGATGTATTTTGTTAATATATAGAGACATAAAATTCAAAGAATTAAATATGAATAATGTTAAAAATATATTATCTTCAATATTTTTTTTATTAACTTATTATAATTTTAGTGCGGAAACAAATTATTCTGATTTAAAATATATATATGGATTAGGATCATTATTTGTTAATAAAAATGATAACATTGATAAGGAGTCAATTGAAAAAAATAAAAAAAAAGAGAAACAGAAAAAAGGGTCTCATAATGAAAATGATGCATTTTCCTCTATGATTAAAACATTTTCTCTGTGTGAATGTGACATTTTTATATCAATACATAAACAGAGAAATATGTTACTGAAGTACTTAGAATTACATGAAATGGAAAGGAATATTATATTTGAGCATACTATTCATATGTGTGCTTGTGTTCATGATAATAATAAAAATATGTATAATAAAAATTTAAATAAATATAACTCCAGTATTTTTTTAAATTTTCAATCTAATGAAAATATAATAAGAAAATGGTTACCTGCTCATAAATTTAAGCATGTAGGAATTTACACTATTGAAAATATAAATGACGATAAAAAAAGAAATCAAATAGAAAATGATGATGTAGATGAAGAAATGGGAAATTACTTAAACAATTCAAATTATTTTACATCTACTACATCCTATGGTGACGATGATGATTTTACCTCTACTGAAGAAAGTGAAGATGAAGATGACACAAATTATACTAATTTGAGAGAAGAGAACAAATCTGATTATGAAGATATTAAAAAAGAAAAAGGATCTACAATTGAAGAAGAAAAAAATTGTAATATAAAAAATAGTAATAAAACACTAATGAATAAAAATGAAAGTATTAATGAAGATATAGAAAATGAGAATGTTTCATCATTGAATAAATTGAAAAATAGTAAATTGAAAGATATAAAGAAAAAAAAAAAAAAAAGTGGTAATAATGGAATCGTTGGTAAAATAAGAAGAAAATTAAAAAAAAAAAAAAGTCATAAATATTCAATAGAACATGAAGATATTACTAGTAAAAAAGACTTAAAGAGAAGCAATCCTCTTCATGACACAGAATCCATCAATTCTAATTCTATAAATCTTTTAAATTTTCCCGTTTTTTTTAAAAATAATAAGAAAAATTCTTTTACCATTGAAAAAAAGAAAAGAAAAGATGATAGAGCAAAGAAATACAGTATTTTAAATAATAATAAGTACATAGAATATATAAAAAAAATTATTAAAGAAGAGAATATTTTAATAAATTTACAGTTATTTACATTTTCATACAAAGACAACAATATTATTACTCTAAATGAAAATATTAAGAAATTTAAAAATTATAGAGATGTTTTTATATACAATAAAAGTTATATTAACACTAATAAAAGAAAAAAATTGCATAAAATGAAAAAAAATGTTAAAGTTTTAATTACTCAATCATATCAAAATTTTTGTGCATTTAATATTATAGGAAAAAAGCATAATTTGGAAATATGGAGAAATTCTAAAAAAATAACTATTAAAAATTTGATGTGCTATGAGTATGATAAATCAAAAATATTTCTAATCAAAAGTAATAATTTTCTAAATAATATAAAATTTATTTCTAATAAAAATGAAGAAGATAATAATATTAATAATTATGATAACACAAATATTAATTTATTTTATAATTTCTTATCTAGTGAAGTAAAATATGGCATATTATATGAGCAAGAAAATAATGATGTATATATAAGAATCATATGGAAATATAATATTAATGAATTAAGTAAAAATATTACGGAAAACACAAAAAGTAATAAAAGTAATGTAGATGAAAATAAAATAAAAGCAAATATATTAGATAAAAATGATAACGTAAATAAAAATAAGGGTTATAATGATATAAAATCTTTTAATATAAACTATGAAACTCAAAATATTGAGGGTTTGTTTAACTTTAAATATGAAGAAAATCAATATGATAGTAGTTTAATTAATAATACGGAGGAATCTTCTTTTAGTGATATAATGAAAGAAATATCTGATGAAAATATGGATGAAAAAAAAAGTGAAAAATCTTCCAAATCATATAGTTGTACATCATTATCTAATTTAAGTTTAGAAAATAATTCTAATATAGAGGAATCAATAAATTCAAATCAAAAAGAGCTTCTAAATAATAAGATGAATAGAACAAGTGAAAAAGAATACAAAAAAAATAATAAACTTAATAGTAATATATCAATGTATGCTAGTGATGATTTAGATAAAAAAGAAAAAGAAAAAAAAAAGAAAAGAAAAAATAGTACTAAATTAGAAGTATATGGATTAAGAGAAATAATATATCGTAAAGATATTAATTGCATATACATATATGACATATATTTTTCTATTAATAGATTTATAAAAAAATTGTATTATTGTAGTGATGTAAAAAAAACTTATTTTTCTACAAGTATAAATAGATGCAAAAATTTATATTATCACTTTGAAAATAACAATGTGCGTCTTTGCTATTATAACAATAAAGATATATATGAAAAGTATAATGTTAGTATATGCAGAAATATTTATAATAATATTCAAGTTCAAACATATCTTAATCCACATTATTTATCAACATTTATACCAAATATATTATTACAATATTACAATTTTTGGTATAATACCAATAATAGTTTAATAGGAGAGATAAAAAATACTAAAAAAAACAAAAAAAATAAAAATTCAATTATTTATATAAAAATTTTTGATGATAAAGAGGAATATGATGACCAATTTAATAAAAAAAGTAGTAGCTTAAATATTATAAAAAATGGATTAAATAAAAATGAAAAGAAATCAAAATATATTTCTCAATATGGTATTATTCAAAAATTTAATATTTTGAATACACCTAAAAACTCTAATAAAATAACTTCATTAAAAATCAATGAAGAATTTAAGGCATTAACAATTATCAATATTTTAAGTTACGAAAATAATGATATATATAAAGATTTTTATAATATATTAATTAAATTCGACCACATTACAAATATATTAATTTATACATTAAGTATACCATCTCTATTTGATAATAATAGTTTTTCATCACCCTATAATAGTAAAAAAAATCCATATGATATTAATAAAACATGTATCACAGTAGATTTAATTGAAATTCCAAGATTGAATTTAACAATAAAAAGAAATAATATAGATATAAAAATGAATAATAAAGAAAAAGTATATAATGATACTCTTAATAATAATAATAATAATAGTGATAAAAAGGATGTGTGTAAATATTATTTTGAAGAATTAAATATGTACTTATATCATGGAAATATCCAAAAATATACATATATTTATAATGTTATTAAAAAAATGAATAACACTATTTTATTACAAAATAGTAAGAATGATTTTTTTTTCTTAGTTTCTTTGTTGAATAAACCCTTTTTCTTAAATATATCTAATTTATATAAAGAATTTAACAATAAAAATATACATTTGTGTACATTATTAGAAAAACATATTAATGTACTTCTAAAAAATTATATGTATGTAACAATATATTATCATAATTTTAATATTAATACAGATATAAATAAAAATGTTGATATATTTAATGAAAATAATATACACAATGATTCTTGTTCTTTGCAATATATTATTTTGTCTATTCACAGTTCTAAGTTATTTTTAAATTTTAGAAACTTATATAGTTGCTTTTTTTTTATTGTATACAAATATTTAAATAAGGATCACGAAGAAGTAATAGAATATTGTAACAATTTAAGTATATGTAAGGAAGATATAAAAGAAATAAAATACTTATTAAATATATTAAATTACTGTGATTATACTATATATTCAGATGTGGATTCTTGCGCCTGTAGATTAAAAATATTTTTAACATTATCTAAACAAATTAAAATAACTCTTCGAAAAAAGAAGCATAGATTAAATACTAAAAAAAAATTGTGGAATATTAACAATTATTATAACATCTTTAATTATGTAAAGTCATTATGGAATATAGATAAAAATAATGAAAATGATGAATCAAGTAGTAATAATTTATATAATAGTAATGATAATAATTGTAACAAAAAGCATGTATCAAATAACAAATTAACAAAAGATTCAAAAAAAAAGGAGATTAATAGTAATAATAGCAATAGTAGTGATAGTTATAGTTACTACTCTTCTTCTAATAGTTCATCATCATTTGATAGTAATTATGTATCATCAGAAAAAGAAAATAAAAAAAAAGAATTAAATGTACAAGAAAAAATTAATGAAGATAACGAATCTAATACCAAAAAAAAAAATAAAAATAAAAAAAAAAAACAAAAAAAAAAACAGTATGAACATAATAATAAAAAAATACATATGGAAAACAAACTCGAAGAAGAACTAGATAATATTGAAATTATTATTTATTGGGATATTCTTAAAGATATATCATTTTATATAAATAATTTAATTTATGTTAAGGCAAAATGCAAATTAACTATTGATGAGGAAATTTTTTTATATCAAAATTGCAATATTAATATACATAAATATAAAATAATATATAATAGGTTCATAATATTAAATAGCATACTGGAATCAAAAAAAGTATGTGATAATTGTAATCTCCTTTTCTTCTATAATATTTTAAAAATGAAACAATTAGAAAATCAAAACAAAATAAAAAATTATAAAATAGAATATAAAAAAAAAAAAATATTTGAAAATAATGATCCTCTTAAATTAGAAATACAAGAAAATAAAACAAATAGCAGTTATAAAAATATATTAAATTTTGAAAAAGTAAAAAATAATTTCAAAAATATGAAAGATATTTTTATTAATAAAGAAGACAAAAGTATAAAGAAAGATTCTATAGTTGTATCTATTAATATTCCCAAAATTGAAACAGTAAAATATATTAATAATATAGATGAAAATATATTTATGAATATAAACTTATATGATAGTATAGGAAATATAATAAACAATATGAGTTATAAAAAATTAGAAGATAAAAATAATGTAGATGCATTGAATTATTTAAATGCATTAATAAATGGTTTGGGAATACAAAATTTTTTCATTATATATAATTATTTTATTAATAATCTAAATATAAAAATAATTAAAGGAGAAAATACATTTTTATATGCAAATTTATTAGCAAGATACTTATATTTTTATAATTATAATATAAGTCAATATAGTAAAATTATATATATATTTATTTTTATTATAAATCATCAAGAAATAGTGAGTAGATTACCAAAAATAGATGATCAAAAAATGAAAAAAAATTATTTAAATTTTTTTAAGACGAATGATGCTGTTTTTAACTTCTTCAATGATATTTTTAAATTTGTTCAAAATTTTCAAAAGGAAAAAAATAAAAATATAAACAAAAACATCATTCCATTAACTGTGAATAATAATATTAACATTTTTGTTTCAAATGTATTTATGTATCGTCTAATAATTAATATTAATGTGGATGATTATTTATGTGAAAAAAGAATTATATATCCATTCAAAATTAAAAATAATGTAAATGTTGACTATGAATTATTAAATGAATTATGTTTTAGTCCCTTCAAAAAACTGTATAAATACTTAAGAAAAATAAAACATTGTGATGGAGATATTACAACATGTAATAATAATAATTATTATAATAGTAATAGTAATGATAAAAATGAAAATATTCAAAATATGAATTTTGAAAACACTACAAGAAACTATAATTCATTGAAAACAAAAAATGTTTTAAATTTTGAATTTGAAGAAAATAATTTGTCTTGTCAAAATACATATTCAAAAAATTTTATAAAAAATATGAAAAATGATTATAATAGATATTTAGAATACGAAAAAAAAAAAATGGATTATGAATTTATTGGTTTCAATTCGAAAGAGATAAAAATGACTTTTAGTAGTATTAAAAAACTAAAAGAATATGTAAATATGTTTGTAAGTATAAAAGATATATTATTAGAAATATTTATAGGAGATAATAAATTACTAGAATGTATAAATGAATTTATTGAAGGAAGAGAAAATATAAATAATAATTTAGTATATAAGGAAAAAGGTGAATTTCAGAAAGAAGAGAAAGAAAAAGAAGTTTTTTTAATAAATAATAGTCAAGAGAAAGATAAAAATAGAAGTGATAATAATAACAGCATTATTAATTATTATAATAATAATATGAAGGATATAAGTAATTTATGCGAAAATGTTGCTAATATTAAAGAAAATACTTGTAATGAAGATAAATATGAGTTTGCTGATTATTATTTATATAAATTCGGAATATTGGGTAAAGTTGAAAAAGAAATAAATTTGAAAATTTTAATAAGTTGCTTTATGTCAAAATTTGCATATGAATATTTAATTATGATAAACCCAACCTTAAAAAAGGAGAATTCTGAAAAGTACATTAATATTGTTTTATTATACATGTTAATAATGAATAGAAAAAATTTTTTACATGATTGCATTAGCAGTGTTATAAATATTTTAAATATATTTAAAATTTATAATATAAAATTGAAACATTTGAAACAAAAAGAGAAAACTATGAAATCCAACATTAACCACAACGAAAATTTATTAAACAAAATTTTAAATAAACAACAAAAAATAATAAATAAAGCTATTATTACGATTCAGCTAGGAATAAAAAAATTAACACAGTTAACATTAACAGAAAGGCACTACTTTACATTAAGGAATAAGAGTACCAATAAAAAAATTTTATATAAAGATTTACTTTATAACTCAGATTCCTCTGATATATCTACATGTTATTTTTCAAGTGATTATAATGAAGAAAAAAAATACATAAATTTTAAGACAGAAATCCAAAATGAAAATGAAAAAAATGCAAATATGGAAAATAATTTTGATAAATTTAATTTCACTGAAATAAATAAAAATGAACAGTTCTCTTCCTCAAAAGAAGAAAGTTATTACTATACCTATGATCCAAGATTATTAATATTTGAATATACAAACAATTTAATTATAAGAAAAAAACAAGTTAAAATGATAAAAAAATTAAAAAGAGATTTTCTAAAAAAAAAAAAACAATACTGTTATCAAATAATAATGGGAGGAGGAAAAACAACTGTGTTGTCTCCCTTATTTTTTCTAATTTTTTCAAATTATTTCCTCATATTTAATATGTGTCCTCAACCATTAATTCACTTTACTACTAATATATTCCGTTCAAGATTTTCTTCTATTATTAAAAAAAATATTTTTTATTTCAATTTTAGTCGTTATAATAATATTACAACAGATTTATATATTAGTTTATGCAGTGCATTAGAAAATAAATATATATTAGTGACAAGTCCAACTTGTATCAAATCCCTGTTTTTAAAATTAGTTTATACAATTCAAGAATTAAATAATATTAAAACATTTGACATTATAAAACAAAAAGCTAAAACTCATATCACTGATGCTTTAACAAAATTTTTAGGTTTTCAAAATGAGGATCATACTTTGAATATAACAAATACAAATTCTATAAAGAAAACAAATACATCCATGTCAACAAAATATACAAAAAGTGGAAATCATTATATAATTGATTATAATTTATTGAAAAAACAACTAGATTTATCATTAAGAATATTTGATATATTAAATAAAAGTATTTTATTAATTGATGAAATAGATAATGTTTTACATCCATTAAAAAGCGAACTTCATTGGCCATATGGTCTAAATAGAGATATAGACTTAGTTAATGTTGTAAGAAATTTCACTGATGTTTTCATGAACAATCCTTATTTAAAATTTTTATATGATAAAAAAGATGAAAATGTAGATATAAAAAATGTCAAAATTTCTATTATGAATAACAATTATACCGATAGCAATATAGCCAACCACATAAAATATTTAAAAGAAGAAGAAGAAAGAAAAAAAATTAAAAATTATGATATTGATGATGAAAATATCTATAATAAAGATAAAAGAAAAAAAAAAAATTCTGAAAATTTTAATGCTACCCTAACTTCGCAATTATACAAAAAAGAAGAAATTACAGATTATAATAATAATAATTATAATAAAATGGCAACTAAAAATGTTCAACTTAAAAAATTAAATAATCCTGGAGCCAATATATCCTTTTTTCATATAGATTTAAGCTTATTTAGATATAAATTAAGTTGGATATTAATTGATTTCTTTTTTTATCCTATTTGTAAAAAATTAACTATACCCATGAACATTTCTTTTAATACCAATACAGATTATATAGAAAATTTATTACACAGTTTTAATGAAGAAGTACAAAAAGGTTTAAAAAATCATGACATTTCTCTAATACCTCATTTTCATATTATTAATTTTAAGTGGTATGATAATATTATATGGATAATAGCGAGGTATGTTTATTATTTTTTGTTATCTTATAAATTTACTGGAATATCTCAAAAGGTTGCAGAATCATATCTATGCATTCCTCTGTGTATTGGATATAATGATATAAATATAAAAAGTAAAACAAAAGAAAAAAATTTAAGTAATTCTACCATAAGAAGATTGCTAAATATTAGAAAAATAAATAATAATAATTATAACACTGAAATAAATAACTTGAATAAAGAGGATCTTCATATATTATCAAGTGATTACCATTCAAAGATTTTTGAAAAAATTAATGAATTAGATTATATATTTTGTAAAATGCTAAATCTCTCCCGTTTATATATAAATGGTATATTGCCTTTTGTATTTTCGAAAATAAATACAGTTCATTATGGTATTTTATCAGTAGAACAAATAAATAAATGTAAAGTATTAATGAGTAGAAGTAGATATTTTCTAGCTGTTCCATATATAGGAAAGGATACTCCTTCAAGCATGTCAGAATACACTAATGTTGATGTGGTTGTTTCTTTAACTATTTTATCTTATAGATATCAAGGTATGAGATATTTTGATTTTATACTTACTCTTAAAAATATTTTATATAATTATTCTTTAGAAAAAGATTATCAACATATTCAAAGTGAATCTGAAGATTTTTCCTTTTATTCTGAATCATCGAAGGAAACAGACAATGAAAAAAAAGAAAAAGAAAAAAAATCCTCAAGTATCTTAAAATCAAGTGATGATTCAACAGATTCTACATGTACAACTACTAGTTTTATTGAAGACCAAAGTTCATTATCAATCGACATGTTAAAAAGTGATAAATCTAATAGTGATAATAACAATAAAATAAATATAGAGAAACAAACTCAAAATAATATGAAAAATTTAAATAAAAATGAAAGCATAAACAACTTAGAGGAAACAGATAATAAAAATATATTTAATGAACAAATTATTATGGAAAAAAACAAGATAAATGAATACAACATCAAAAACATGGAAAATCATGAAAATAAAGAGAAGAAAAGAAAACAAAAAAAAAATAAAAGAAAATCGAGAGATGGAAGAAATGAAATTAAAAATATGCATTATTTATATAAAGAAATAATAGAATCTAGTGGAGCAAAAATTAAAAGAATGAAAAAAGATATTAACAATACTAATTTCTTTTTATATGACAATAATATAAAAAGAAAAACAGAAAAAAAAAAAAGAAAAAAGGGTAATTATGTAGATAGTATTGACAAAATAAATATAAATGATAATGAAACTTTGTACGACTTGTATAATTTAACGCGCAAAAACCCTTTATTAATCAGCTATTTTTTATTAAGCATTATATTAGAAAAGCATATAAAACATACAGAAAAACAATTATCTTCTAATTCTCAAGATTTAACTAATAATATTTTATTTAAATATGTATTAGGTTATAGTGGTACAAGTAATGATATATTACCTGAAGAAATACATAAATGTAAATATGAAAAGAAAACAGTAGGATCAATTTTAAATATTATAAATGATACAAACATAGTGAATTTTATTTTTTTACCATCTAAAATATCTCCTATTGAAATATTGAAAAGTTTAGCTTATTCTAAAATTAAATTTAACAGTTTGATTGATTCAGGTTATTTAATAAATAATATTTCACCAAAAAAAGTTGCTTATTATATTTTGCAATTTCTAGATTATATTGATTGTTGTATATACATAGATAACGGAAAACATATGTGTATGCTACCAATGGAAAAAAATAGAAGAAAAAAACATAAAAATCATAAAAAACATATACAATTTTATGTTAATGAAAAAGAAAAGAAGAGTGCTAATTTTACTGAGATAAATAATAGTAATGAAATTTCTTTGGATAAAGTAAAAAAACATAAAAAAAAATCAATAAAAAATTCCAAAAGTAAGAAATGCAGAGATAAAGCAGAAAACTATTTTAACTTTAATGTTGAAATTATTCCTCTTCAAGATTGTTATGTTCCCATTAAAAAGAGATTTATTTATTTTGATCATATAAACACCTTTGGACAAGATATAAAACAATATGTAAATGCAAATAGTTTAGTTACTGTTAATATTGGTAATGATATATCTTCTTTCAGTCAAGGTGTTTTTCGATTAAGATCCATAGGAATGAATCAAAAAATATTTTTTTTGATTCCTTTGTGCCTGATTAAGTTAATGAATATTAATACTAACTTATTTAAAGATATTATTTATTCTTATTTTTACAATGATAATATACAATTTAAAAAAAATGGTAACCACAAAAATTTAACATGTGATGAAGAATTAAATGAAAAAAATATTTTTAAAAGATTTAAAAAGGAAAAAAAAAAATTTATTGAGGCATGTAATAAAAATTATAGTGAAGATAGTCATACAGAATCAGAAAATAATAATAGTGTTGTTATTAGCAGTAGTAATAGTAGTGATTATGATGATTATGAAGATGACGATGAAGATAAAAATCGTTATAATATTAAGAACAAAATAATGAGAGAAAACTTAAAAAATTTTAACTTAAGTAATGAAAATGAAGAATATGTATATTTAATTGATTGTTATAATAGTATATATTTAGATGAAAGTACAAAAGAGAATGTACTAAAAGAATTAACACATTATTTAATTTTAAATAATATAAATAACAATATAAAACAATGTGAACTTTTATGTGTGCATGGTGTTGTAAATATTATTAAAAAAAAAAGTATTAAAATGTTAATTGACAATTATATAAATATTGGTGTTTTAAATTATAAAGATTATTTAGATATATTTAATACGAGTATAGATTTTGACATTCAAATACAAGTTCCGTCAAAAAATAACTCCCTATTATGTATTGTTCAATTAATTGAAAAATTTCAAAATATTTTTGATGATGAAGATGAATTATATCTACAAAATATATTATATCGATATTTTTGTTTACACTATGATTTTTCTAATAAAACTATTTTTATGTATTTTGATGCCTTTTTTCCACGTAAGGATTTTACAAAAGGCAATTGTTCTCAAATTATATTGGATCTTTTTGAAAAACTAAAAAAAATTAAAAAAGATAACACCTTACTTAATAAAAAGTTTTTTACAAATGCTAATGAAGATAATGGTGATGATGATAATACTATTGATAGTCATTTATTTAGTTTAGAAAATGAGCAAGAAAAAGAAAAAGAAAAGGAGAAAGAAAAGGAAAAGGAAAAAGAAAAAGAAAAGGAAAAGGAAAAAGAAAAGGAAAAAGAAAAAGAAGAAGAAAAAATCCCAGATGATCCAAAAAAAAAAAATATAAAATATAAAAAAGAGGAATATAAATTATATAGATGGACAATTGATGATATAAACGCAGATTTATTTGAAACAAAAAAAAAAGTTAATAAAAAAAACGAAGATTTAAGTAAGCCTTTTGTATTAATAAATAATAAAATAACGGACACAATTATGAAAATGAAAGATGATCCATTGTTTATTCCATTGAATAAAGTATGTGTTAATGATATTTATTTAAATTTTCCTTCGTATGTTTATGTATCAAAAAATTTTATTAATTCAGAAGGAATTAATACAAAAAAAGTTAAGAAATTAAAAAATGTCTTAGTTGTGTTAGAATGTATATATAATGAAAATAAAGATAATGTAAATTTTTATGAGAATAATAATTATGATTTACATTCAGAAAAAGAAATTTTAAAAAATATATGGAATATATTAAATGAAGACAATATAGATGAAATATTAAGTATTTTGGACATCAATCCCTTTAAATATTCTTATGATTTAGCTAAAATAATAAATGATTATATGGATAAAAATAAAAATAAAAATACAAATTTCAATAATTTTACAAATATATTAAATAAGTTAGAACTGTATTTTAGTAATAGAAATAAAAAATATATTATTGTTAATTTGCAAGAAGCGGAAACATTGAGGTATTATATTCATAAAAGATATAATAGTGAAAAAATAATGGATGCTTTTTCAACAGGAATTGTTTCATCTGTTAAGGAAAACAAGATAAATAATTCTTTAAATAAAAATATAGCAAAAATAGATAATAATACATTAAATCAAATCAACAACATAAATTATATAAATTGTCACGATGAATTAAATACATTTAAGTCATTTAATGAGAGCAATTCAAACAATAACTTAAATGATAATTTAAATATATTTGATATTTTTGATCACAATAATTTAAATAATAATAATAGTGAAGTAAATAATTTAAGTTATGAAATGGATGGATGCATAAAAGAAGAAATATCACAAGGAAATGTACTAAATGATAATTGGGAGTTGAATAATGATATTTCAAGTATCATTTTAGAATTTAATGAATCCAAAACGGATAAAATGAATACTTTTAATTTACATGAATTAGAAAAAGAAAAAAAGAAAATTGATGAATTAACAGATCACAACAAATTAAATACTATTAATGTTAGAAATGACAAATTAAATGTATGTGAAAAGGAAAAAGAAGAAAACTATGAAAAAAATGAAAACAGACAAGATATTAATTTATTTTCCGATATAAATATAAATATATATAATTACCATTTTTGGTTTACTCCTATTGAAATTACTGACAGTAATAATTTAAGAAAATACTTATCTAGGCAAACACAAATCGTTTACAGTGTTTGCAAATTTTTTAATTCAGACAGAAAATTTATTGATTCTCATGTTAATTTGCTGTTGCAATATTTGAATTTTAATTCTCCTCAAGATCGATTTAACTTTTTTAATGAATTATATTTATTAAGAAGAATTGTAAAAGAAAATTTAAATAAAAACTACAAAAGTCTAGAAAAAAATGTTATAATTCCTAAAAAAATTGAATTCGAAATAGTAGAAAAGAAACTTTTTGAAGGAAATGGTGATATTTATGCATTTAAAGTTATGCAGCAAAAAGTAAAACAAAGTTTAAAAAAAAAACAGTTAACTATACAAGAAATATTCGATAAAGATTTAGATTATATTTGTAGCACACAAGATATTAAAATTCTTTTTGACTATTTAAATTTAAATGATAAAAATTTGGTCAAGGTACTCTATGATATTTTAGGAGTAAACATTACCCTTCAAGAATTGTGTTTTTCACTAAACCCAATAGAAAATATAAAAAAATCAGAATATCAGAAAGATTTATATGTTGATGACAAAAAAAATTGTGTAGCTGATTTTATAAAATATTTAGAAAAATGTTTGAAAAATTTCAAATTTTCAATTACAGATCATTCTCATTTTAAATTAGTTTGGTCAGGTAAGATAATAAATCAAAGAATTATTCAGGAAACAACAGATAAGGAAACCAATTTTATGAATAATGAAAAAAGAGCATGTACAGAGAATTATGATTATAATAAAAATATTAACGATCAAGAAATTTTTAAAAAATCTTCAGCGAACGATTTATTAAGTGACATTTTTGGATTCAACAAATCATATAGAAACGAGTCACACAATTTACAAGAAGATATAAAGCAACCATTAAATAATTCGGATCAATTTTATATTTATGAAGCAGAAAATATTGAACCAAAAGATAGGGGAATGATGAGTAAAAATAAACATAAAATTACTACTGGTCATTATGCTTCAAATAAAATATACGAAAATACTTTTCCAATACTCGAAATGACAGATACCTCTATAAATAGTATTTATACAAGTACTTCAGCACAAGAAATTCTTAACACTTTTTTTCCTTACCCAAAAAAATATCTTTTATTATGGCATGAAGATTATTCAATTAAAAATCCAAATGAATGTCTTCATATATGGAAACCCGTTTTATCATCTTTCAATTCTTCAAATACAATTTTTTTAGGATTTATAGCAACAGTTGGTCCGCATAAACCACCTTTGAATAAAATTAGAGCTATACCAAAAGCGTTAATTAAAATTGTACAAAATAAAAAATATTCAACATTTTACTTTGACAATAGCTTTTGTATCGATAATTCAGGAATTTTTAATTCATTAAATATTCATCCCTTCAGTAAAAAAAAAAAAAAAAATATATATATATATATAAATACAACTATTAGTAAACTTACCTTTTTATTACTGATAATAATCTTTTTTTTTTTTTTTTTTTTTTTTTTTTTTTTTTTTTTTTTTTTTTTTTCTATATGATGTTTATTCAAATTATTATTTTATTCATATTTTTTTTATATTTTTTTTAGATGGATTAGACAATACAAATTACGAAGAATTTTTATTTAAAAGTTTTTCTTTAAATGTTATTCCTAAAATTAAAAAAATAAAATCAGTTAATGAAGACATTTTCAATTTATGGGGAGACGAAAAGCAGCATGTTAGTGAAGATGATGATGAATCATCTGAATGGGAAGTATTACCTCAAGGATTTTAAATTTTATAAAATATATACCTTATTAAATATAATTCATATTTTTTTTACAATTTTTTCTTATATATTATTTCTTTATATTTTTTTTTTTATTTCATTTTATTTTTTTTTTTTTTGTTTAAATGTTAAGCAAATTTGTGCTTTTCTTACTCATGAATAAGACAACATTAATTTTTGATACTTTTTTTTTTTTATATAACTTTTACATACAGAGAATATTTTTAAATTTTGTTAAAATTGTTTTACATTTTTGTTATTTCCTTATGAAAAAAAAAAAAAATATATTAATAAAATATTAGTTTACAAGTTCTCATGACAAAACTTTAATGCATGCAAATTATTTATTGTTGTTAAATTTGAAAACTTTTAGAAAATATAATTAGAAAAAAGAAAAAAAAAAGGAAATTTTTTTAATTTATGTAATATATTTCTTTTTTTATATAAATTAAAATAATCTACGTCTTTATTATTTCTTTTAATTGTAAATTCTAGCTTTTTTTTAAATAAGTTACATTTTCCTATATATATACTAGTTGCACATATACATTATAATCTGTAATTTTAAAAGTTTATAATATTAAAAATTTAATAGAAAAATACTATAAAAGTAAATTTTACATATTTTTATTAAAAATATTATCTTTTTATGAATATTTAGCATTTTTTCTTTTTTATTATTTCTGTTTTTTTTTTTTTTATTATCCATATATATTTTTGTGAATCTTGTAAAAATGTTGAAGAATAATTTATATAGTAATAATAAAACTAGTGTAGATAAAAAAAAAAGCAACAATTTAAGCGCTAAAAAAGGTTTTAAAAATTTTGCTTCTTTAAATTATTTTAGTTCCAACAAATTTATCTCTAACATTTCTAATGAAGTTCAAAATAAGAACAATATTATATCCTACTTTGACCATGATACATTGAATGTGTAATTATAAAAATATTATGAAATTAATCTAGAATAATTATTCATATTTTAATAGATTTTTTTTTTTTTAAAACATAATTTTAAATAGGACATTCTTTGCTAGATTATATAAATATGTTCCAAAAATATGTGGTTCTGTTGATTTGTTTTTCAAAAAAAATAGTGATGAAAAAGATTTTGCAGATTTTTTACGAGTAAAAAATTTATGAGTTTAAAAAAGAATAAGATAAAGAATGTATGCATATACAATTGTATAAGTAAATATATATTAATAACAAATAAGTATATAACTGAAAAAAAAGAAATATATATATTTTTATTTTTAAATTGCATAAGAAAAAAATATATAACATTTTAAAAAAAAAAAAAGATTCTAATTTTTTTTTTTTTTTTTTTGAATATTAGACAGATATAATTAGGTCTTTGAGAATTTACTGTATTTGTTCTGTAATAATATCAGTTGTAAATACTTTAATAAATATAATATTTTTTTCAGAATTTTTTTATTTTAAAGATAATAATAAAATGCTATTTTTATCATTTGGAAGATTTATGTTTTTACCTATCTGCATTTTCTTCTTGTATATATGCACTTATATTAAAAAGTTTTTAGATTATTTAGAAGTAATAATTTCCTTTCATTCAAAAGTTTATAAATTTATAGGTTTTTATATTTATAAATCAATCTAATTTTATACAAATGCTCATGTAATTTTTTTGCAGATTATTATATCATATGTTTTCTCTTTTATGAATGTGAGTTTATTTATTACAAGTTCTTGTGTTCACTCCATAGATACACATATTCTAAATAATATGTGTGAAATGTAAAAAAAAAAAAAAAAAAAAAAAAAAAAAATACATTACTAATAACAACTATAATATAAAGAAATTACATTTATGAATTTCTAATATATATATATATATATATATATATATGTATATATAATTTAGGATGATAGTTTTTATATAAATAAAAAGAATAAAAAATTAAAGAATGATTGTATATTTTAAAATCCTTTTCATTCTAGAAATAATTTAATTTATATAATTTTTTTTTTTTTTTTTTCTAAGTTCATATATATTGGAATCTTCACATATTCTACAATTATTTATATTATATTTTGCTCTAGTACTATTTATTCCTATCCGCTCAATTTATTTATGGCCAATATGCGCAACGTAAAAAAAAAATATATATATATATTAATTTCTTTATTATTTTTATCTTTTATGTCATAGAGTTATTGGTGTTCATTTATTCTTTTTGTGTAATTCATAAATATATTAATATATTTTTTTCTGTATTTTTTCTATTTTTTTATTTTTTAAATTATATATATATATATATTGATTATTATTACTTCATATTATTTTCTTACTATTAGAGCACCATTAGCATTTAACATATCTATGTTGTTTAGAGATATGAAGGGAAAATTTATTTATAGTTCTTTCACTCAGATATATTTTTCAACTACTTTATCAATAATTGCTCTATTAGGTATTATAATATATATAAATTTATATAAATTATATATATAATGATATATATAGTTACACATATATCAAATAGAAACAACATAAAATTTTGCATTAAAAATATTTTTATTGATTTTATTTTTTAGGAAATCGCATGTTAGAAAGAAAAATACGTTTGCAATATATAAATATAAAAAATATAAAAGAGAAGGATGAACTATATAGAAAAGCAGCAACTGTATAACACTCTTAAAAATGCTATATCTTACTGAGGAGACACAAATTTTAATAAGTTAATATTTTTTTTCTTTATTAGGAAAATAATTGTTCTAATGCTTATGATGAAGTAAATTTTTTTTTAAATTCAACAATAATTAGAATTAATAATGTAATTAATTTCTTAATGGTAATTAAAATGAAAACAAATTAATCTAATAATTACTTAAAGATTACTTTTTTTTTTTTAATCTTCTAATGTTATAGTGTTTTCTATTTGTTTAATTTTTTGAAGTTAATTGTTTAAAAAATACCATTTCTTAAAAAATTGTATCATTTACTAAATATTTTTTTTTTAGTTAAAATCTCAAGACTTATATGAGATTTTACTACAAGCAAGAACAGATATAGAAAAATGTATTCTTAAACTAAGTAGAATGGATAATTTATTAACTGTAGATAAAAACGCCTTAATATGTAAGTGATGAAAATGCTTAATATGAAAAAATAACATAAATAAGGAATGAAATTTTTATTTAATATATTAAAAGTAAAATACATAATGATAAAATACTATGCATTAATTTTATATTTTTTCTTTTTTTTGGCTAGCAAACAAAAAAGAAGAAGATAAAAATGTAGTGGAACACCTCTTTAATATAATATATACAAAAAGAAATAATAAAAAAACATCAATAAGTACTAACGATTTTTACAAGAAAGTGAGAAAAAAATTAAAAAAAAAAAAAAAAATAAAACAAGACTATATTATAATGACATTAAGTTCAGGAACAAAAGAATAAAAGAATTATTTGAAAAAAAAATTTACGTAAGCTTTCATTATCTACTTTTTTTTTTTGTAGATACCTTTAAGCATTGAAGAAATAAGATTAAAATATGATAATGGAGACAAAATCAAAGTTGAACGATATGCAGATATAGAGAAATTTCAAGATATTATACAAAATTTAAAAGATAGTAATAAAATCAATTCAATAAATGATCTTTTTAAAGTTGACTTACATGATAAAACTAAAAAGAATACTAGAAAATTGAATAAAAAAAATTATAATAGCTATATAAAGAAAATAAAAAGAATTAACTTTTCATTAAATAATGCGTTCATTGGTATAGGAAAAGACTGGAATTTTAATATATTCAATCTTCAAAATTCTTTAAAAAGCAACACACTTATAGGGGTGCAAAAAAAAAAAAAAAAAATAAAATATAAAAAATAAAAATAAAAAAGATAAAATGTAATAAATCATATAAATACTTTACATTTATACATAAATATGTATGATTTATTTTTTCAGGTTGGATTATATTTTCTTAATAATTATTTAGAAATATTGAAATGTCCTAATTATTTTGCCTATAATTTTTTATATGATATCAAATCGTCCTATTTTTCGACAAATAAATATCATAATTCTTTACACGGTTCTGATGTTTGCCAGAATATGATATGTATACTAAATAACATGAATATATTTAAGTTTTTAGATTTATATAAACAAATAAGTGTTGTGATTGCTACTTTATGTCATGATGTTGGTCACCCTGGATTAACAAACTCTTTTCTAATAAAAATGAATCATAATTTATCCATTCATTATAATGATGTATCAATATTAGAAAGTTATCATTCTTCTTTAACTTTTTTTTATCTAAAAAAGTCATGTAACAATTTTTTATTTAACTTATCAAATGATGAATTTGGGATAATTAGGCAAACAATAATTGATTTAATATTAGCCACAGATTTAGCCAACCACTTTGAATTTTTATCAATTATAAAAATAAGAAGCAAATTAGAAGATTTTTCTATTTTGGGAAATGAAAGTGATAATATCAATTTCCTTAAATTATGTATTAAGGCTTCTGATATAGCTCACACATGTAAACCTTTTAATATTCATTTACTTTTTGTTCTTAATCTAATGTTAGAGTCATATGAACAAGGAGAAAAAGAAAAACTGTTTAATATACCTTTAATGCCATTTTATGATTTCAACCAAATAGACAAATTTCCTGATTCTCAAGTTGGGTTTATTAAAGTATGTATTAAAAAAAAATTTTAATCAATTTTTTTTTTTTTTTTGTTTAAATCAAAACCTTCTAATTATTTTTATTATATAAAAACTAAACATTTGTTATTTTTTTTATTTTTCAGTTTATTTGTCAAGACACATTTCTAGAGTTGTTACATATTGAAAATATAACTAAAACAGAAAATAAAAAAAAAGAATTAAGTGAAAATAATGATGTGAAAAATTATTTTAAGCATATCAGCAAAGATGATAAAAATACAATAAAAAATGCGAGTACAATTACTGAAGTGATTGTTCATAGTTCTAATAGTAAAATACTTAATGAAAACAAAAATTACTCTCAAAACACATACAACAATATTAAAAATGACTCATTTATCCAAAAATACTGCTTAGACAATTTAAAATACAATTCTAATAAATGGGAGGTAATATTATACATACATATATATATATATATATATATATATATATATATATATATATATATATATATATATATATATATATAAATATATACAGTTTTTATTTATTTTTACTTTTATAGAATGACAAAAATTTAATCAATACAATTAAATTTTATGCAACCGGAGAAATTACAGATGAGGATATATTAAAGATAACATAAATATATATTTATTTTTTCCAAAAGGAAATATTTTCCATTTACATGTATCTATTCAATTATAAAATATTTATTTGTTATTTTCTCTTGTTTTTCTTCCTAAAGCTTTTATTTTTTTTTTTTTTTATTATTAATTTAGAATTTTCTTTATATATAAGTTATTTTTCTTTTTATATTTTACTTTTTAATAAATTTATAAGCCTTATCATCTTATTTAAAAATTAGTTAAATGCATATTCGCTTGAACTAAAATAAATTTTAATTTTATATCTATTAAAATGTTTAGCATCTTGATATATATATACATTATATCATTTGTTAATTATTAAAAATAAAAAAAATAAAAAAAGACATATATAAAATTATATTACACAAAATAACTATTTTTTATTATTATTATTTTTTTTTTTTTTTTTTTTTTTTTAAATGCGAAAAAATAATACTTTAAATATATATGATATTTTTTTTAATTTCTCTTTTTTTTATCCATTTTACGCTTGTAAAATAATAATTCATCTCCTTCAATAATATATCCATCAGCTTTACCACATTGTCCTGGTCTACTACTAATACAAGCTAAAACCCTTCCTTGTTTAAATTGCTCAAGTAATGCTGGATCAATTTGTTTTGATTTTCCTATTTTTTTAATTACTGAATATGATTTATTTTTTTCATTATTTTTTTTTTCTTCTTTATCTTCTTCCTCTGCTTTATTTTCTTCCTTGTTTTCATCTTCTACTTTTGTTTTCTTTTTTTTTCCTAATGTCATACCAAATGTATTTTCATACCTGTTAAAAAAATGCACACACATATATATGTTCATAAAAATTTTATAAAAAAAAAAAATAAATATATATTTTTATTTTTTCATTATGTAATTCCATCTAAATAAATATATAATTTCCTCAAATTTATTTTTGAGAATTTATGAAACATATATTTTTTTTATCATTAAAAGTAAAAATAAAAAATATATATTTTGTATTTTTTTTTTTTCTTTTTTCAGTCGGTAATTCCAGCTAAATGAATATATAATTTCCTCAAATTTATTTTCAGAAATTTAAAAAACATATATTCTTTTCATCATTAAAAGAAAAAAAAAAAAAATAAAATAGCACAAATATAACGTTCTATTTTTTTAAATAATTATTTTATTTACCATGCAGTAAATGGATGTGAATCAATTAAAACGATGCAATTTTTTACTAATGTTTTTGTTCTGACAAGTTCATTATTTGATGCATTATAAACAACATCTATAATTCTTGTCATTTTTGATATTCCAAATGATGGCCATGAAAAACTACCTGAATCTAATTTTATTGCACGATACTTATAATTTCTTCCTCTTCCTCTAACTATATGAACTTGTCTACTTCCTAATTTGGTATTTGAAGGTGGTCTACCTAATTCATATTTTCTCTTTTTTTTATGAATTTTTTTTTTTCCACCAGTTAAGCGAAGTTTGTGTCTTCCATCTCTACTAATACCCATCTAACAAAAATAAAAAGGAAATTAAAATTTATATAAATATAAATATTTTATTTTAAACAAATAACATATAAGAATATACAAAGTATGCTTAATATTCAATATAATATATACACCTTTTTCTTTCTTTTAAATGTTTATACTTTTTTTTTTTTTTTTTTTTTAATAATAAATATATATGCAACTTTTTTCTTTTATTGTTTATATAAAATTAAAAAAAAAAAAAAAATAAAATAATCACGTTTTCTTATGTATACTCCTATTTAACAAATATATCTCCATGTATAAAAAAAAAAAATATATATATTATTAACAATTCATAAATAAAATTAAAAAAAATTATTTTCCAATAATAAACAAAACATATTCAAAAAAATAATTTAAAAAATAAAACAAATGAATTTATATTTAATAGAGTAAATAAATATGAATTAAAATGTAAATATATTTCTTAATATATTTATAAATACTTAAGTAATTATGTATAATGTAAGATGTTTACTTAAAAATCATAAATATATTCTTTTCATTGAATTTTGTTTTCATATATATATTAAAAAATTTTTTTTTTACCTTATTAAAAATTAAATAAATGTACTTATAGTTGTGTTTTTTATATTATCTATTTTTAAATTATATTAAATAGTAAATAAAATGAATTCATGATTAAAAGTAACAATTTTTTCAAAATTTTTTACAAAATTTTTTTTTTAAAAAAAAAAATAAAATAAAAAAATTTATGTATGCATTTAATACGTGAAAATATTAAATATTAAAAAAAATATTTCATATATTAAAAAATAATGGAATATATATATATATATATATATTTTTTTATACTTATGAAATGTAGAATTATAAATTAAAAATAAAAATAATGCACTTTTTTCTATATGTTTTATATTTTTTTTATTATATATTTTTCTGTTTTTTTTAACTATATATTTTTTTCTTTGAATATAGTATTGTTTTTTCAAGTGGTAGTAAGTTGAGGGGGTTATAAAAAATCATTTATAAAAAATGAGATACATATAAAATATTATATTTCTAAAAAATATATAATAAAGAAATAAATATTGAAATATATAGAAATATTTATATTAAAATTTTTTAATATATTATAATGTGAAAAGATGTAATGTACAATTTTGTACATATAAGATTCACTTACGTTGTTTATTTTTTTTTAATTTATTTCATTATATTTTTTTTTTTATTAGTCTTTTGTATTAATTTATATCTATAAAAAAAAAAATAGAAGTCATACAAGAAAAAAATATGAAATAAAAAAGAATTTTTTTTTTTTTTTTTTATAAAAACAAAAAATTGTAAAAAAATAAAGTTAAGAATTTCAATTTTCTTTTTAACTGTTTATTTTAAATGGAATGAACTTTTATAGATAGTTTATTTACTTTTTTATTTTTTTTTATTTCCCTAAATTTTATTATTAGTATGTGTGTATCATCTATAAATTATTATTTCTTCTAATTTATGTTATATTTTTATGAATTATTAATTTTTTAGAGTAAGTTTACTTTTAATATAAAATTGTAAAAAAAACAAAACAATTAGTTACAACTTTTTATCAGATAAAAAGTGAAAAAAACAAAACATTAAAAAAAAATTATATTTTTAAAGAATGCAACATGGGTGAATTTATATATATATATATATATATATATATATATATATATATATATATATATGAAAAGAACATATTAAGAAAAAAAAATACAAATTAAAATACATGGTTAGGAATGTTATTGATGAAAAATAAAATATTAATTTTTCTTTAAAATTTTATTTATTACTTCCGATGATAATTTATAAATTTTATTTTTTGTTTTTTTATCACATTTGCGAATTTTTGATAAGTCTTTAATAACAGTCATATTACCCACTTTCAATTCCCCTTCTAATTTTTTAGCTTTTTTCTTTTCCTTTTTTATTTTGTTTTTTTTCCTTCTTTCACTAATCTCTTCTAGCATTTTTTTTTCTAATTCTCTTCCTGCTTGTGTCATTTCTGTTAAATTTTTATTCTTTGAAATATTTTTAAATTTATTATATGTTCTTCTAATTGGTTTTACTGTTATATTATGTTTATTATTAGAAATTGTTTTATTATTTGTCAAATTTAAATACATTCTATTTCTTTCAATCATTTTGTTTACTTCATTTTGTAGTTCATCATATTCATTAATTTTTAATTCATTCTTATTATCCATTTTTATATCTACATTTTCTTTTTCTACATCTTTTACATTTGTTAGCTCTTGTATATTATTATTTATATTATATTCCATTTTATTCTTTATTCTTTATGTTAATTTATTATTTTAATTTGAATTAATTTTTACATTAAAATTTTTATATCCTTTTTTTTTTT